AGTCTCAAACCTTTATTTATCGGCAGATCAAAGTGTGGTTAGGAATACTTTTTGTCCCAGGTCAGTTTCATTATGATGATAATACTCAGTGAAACATTCGTATCCCATAAAATAGCTCAAGCCAAAATTCCTGCCTGTAACATAAAATAAACGACCATTTGGGCACCTCTCGTCAGTTATCACAACCTGAGGGGGTATTATTCACTTACCATAATCTTAGGAGTCTGTTAAGTCAAGTCACATGGTTGACAGTATTTGAGTGGGTGAGCGCTGAACTTCCAACTGCTCCGACATACTGTCAAGACGGTCTGTGTGTTTATGGCCTACATTTGGCCTACCATGTTCGTTAAGGTGACCTATTCCAATTCCTGTGACACATTCCCATCTTTACCTCCGTCACTGACATACTTTTTACACTGGTAGTCAATTCTGCTAGAACCTAGGTGTTTGATGATTCCTTTTTTTGTATGCTGCATCGAATGTGCCCCACCCGAGAGACCACTTTCCATTACCTTACGTGAAATTCGTTCGGCTTGGGATAAAGATGTGTATCGGTGTTGTGAATCCAAAGAGTGTAGGATGTAGCATTGGAGAGATGGAACCTATCGCCCCACCCACGGTGTTATCGATAACTAGGATTTGGAGTCGGAGCAGGGAAAAGACTGGTGAAATAGTGTCAAGTCCTTCTTACCAATGTAAGAACCTGGTTTACGCCTATGGTGCATATTTTGAAAATCGGCAACGTGGTTGGAGTGGATCTTAATTAGCAGCGCAGTGGAGCAGAGAGGTTAAAATAAAATAAACAGACCTTTCAACATTCGACCTGCGATAATACAAAATATAAAACTTACATAAAGTAGAGAAGCAAATACTAACGCTGAACATAATCCTTCATCCTAACCCACGTATTCGGCTTCGTTGTAACCACCTAATCTAGGATGTAACAAGCCCAGCGTAAGTGTTTTTGGCAAGAAAGACGGACAAGCGGACAGTCTTTTGGTTACTGGAAGCAAATACAGAAGGACAGAAAGTATAACTGCTTATCAGCTAACCAGGAGACTTCTGGTTCTATTGGTTATTCCTATGCCCCTTAGTATTTTGTTCTTGCCTGTAAATTGGCGTGCCTCTTGTAGCATGCTGTTATCTGAGAATAAATTATTATTTGTGCTAGTACTTAAGACGAGGGAACGGTTACAACTTTGCATCTAACATAATATGTCCAGCCAAACACTAGAGGAAAGAGGAAGGTTGTGAGTAAGCAGTCTTGTCTGACAGTGGTCTTTAGTTCGAATGAGTTTACTGGCAGTCATCCACGCAAGATTTCACGATGAAGTCCATCATGATAATTCCTTATAATTTTCAGTGTCTTCGAAGACATATCAGAATGCTGAGGAAGTCTCCATAGTGTCATCCTATACACGCTGTTGTATACATTTTCGCGTTCAACAAAGTTGATATGGAGTGCTGAATTCCGTCCACTTGATTGTTCCACTTGATGCGACCTTTCTCTAGCATCTTGATGATGCCACCTATGACCAATTTGTCAAATAGCACATTGATCTGAGAATTTTCCACCATTTTCGTTACTTCGCTCAGTCCATGTTTTTCACGCGATGTCTCCCTATCCACTTGTGGTGGTATTTCGTTCACTGAGCTGGATGCTTATGGTTGTGTAGCTTTCGTTGTTTTTATGAACAACACCATCGGCATAAACATCCAAAAATGATAGATTGTTGTTTGAACTTTTTTTATCACTGTGAAGTTTGTATCGTCAAGGACTTTGTTGATCCGATTGTGTTGTTCTCCAGCTGATTCATTTTCATTGTGACGGATAGTCGTCTGCATAGCAAACCCACATTTTTGACTTGATTACCGGTAACAACGACGCTTCTACTATCTACAACACACCTTTCGCAATAAGTTCTGATATTGATGATCCTATTGGTGTTACTTTTGTTTGTTCGTAGATTTTGAATTGGAAATACTTTTTTAAGGTTGAAGAGTTCTAGGAGACTTAGACTCTGAAGTTTCGTATATTTTTGAGGATTTGTGTCATTGATGAGAGTCGGGGAAAGAGCTTCTTTCTGTTAGCTTGGCTCGATTGGAAAAATTAGGTTGTTATTTCGAAGGCTATCATCATTTCCTCGTTTTCGATTTTGACTCCATTGATTTTATACAATAATTATGTGGGAGACTTGATGGAGTAGTTGGATGAATTGACATGATGTTTTAATATCTTTGAAATTTTTCTTGGTAAGTTATAGATCTGGTTTCCAGGGAGGGATACAATCGGACGTAGTAAAGTGTTAGGTTTGTCGAGTCTCAGCTTACCGTAGAATCGTGGAATTACTGGTCCATTTGATTTCATTCTCCACTGATCTTGTTTTTGCTATTTGTCCTGCTTTGACAAGCCCGTTTAGCGTACTTGAGATTCGGTTGTCCAACGTTTTTATAGAGCTTGTGTTGAATTGTTTATACATGTCTATGAAAAGTAGTTCCGTGGTTTTCCTGTAATATTCTTCCTGGTCCATAATAACTGTAGTATGTCCTTTGTTCGCTGAAACTATAACTTATCTTCGCTGGTTCTCAGTTTCTTTAAGGCTTTTCATTATTGTGCTGTCAGTTGGTTATTGTCTCTCTGCCGTCGAGTTAGTGGTGCTATGGTTTGCCTTATTTCTTGTCACGTTTTTTCATTTATTACAGCCGTTTTGAATGACGACTCTAGTGCGGCGAAGAATTTGAGTTTCGAGGCGTCCTTTGTGTTGTAGTAATAGGCAAATATAGAATCTAGAAATAGACCAAAGGGTGATATAATCAAAACATATCGAAAAACGACGACAGGTTTTAGGTCAAACGTGGAGAAATTCGTATCCTTCACCTCTATCTGTAGTTTGTGCTGATAATGTTGATCAGAAGAACATTGAAAACTCCAGATCGAATTTAGAGAACGAAACTCCACCACAATCATCCACTGGAGCAACTGATTTTCTCCACCTCCGTTTACATGGGTTGCCATTCCAGCAGTAGCATTTAGGTCTTTCATCATTATAATTAAACCCTTTGTTGAGTGCGTCTTGACAACCGATCGCATCCTTTCATAGGACTGGTTTTCATCATCCCCACTGGTATGGTTGGCGAGGGCATAATACTCAAAAAATTCACTTTCTTTGTCTGGCAGGATGCATTGACGGTCTCAGGTCTATGGGATATTTCCATTCTATCAGTGCTCTTTGTGCTTCTTTGGATAGCATCATTTCAACTACTTCTGTGTTGAAGAGGCATTTTTATATTCATGGTTGGAGTGCCTCGATATCTCTTCTGCAACTAAACTATATCGTCTAATCTGCTTCTAATAAATATGACGGATTTCAAGCAAACTAGGTTGTTTCTTTTCATTTCATCAGCAAATAGAATAGTTCTCATGGTCTCCTAGATTGTGCAAAAATTTCATATTAATTTTCTCTGTGGTTATGAGAATGGGTGTCAACCTTCTGACTTTCGGTTAAACTTGGGATTCAAAATTCTTCCAAAGTTTTATTGGGCTAAAATATTTGTTCTGGTTGTCATTTCTTTAGCAAGTGTGTCTTCTACAGAATCAGTTCACTGAACCTATATCCGACTCTCCTTTTACCTACAGTCTTGAGGCCTGCAGGAACCCTAAGAGTGTTCCAGGAGGAGTTCGAACAGGTACTTGGCTTCATTTAATCTATGGGACCCTTCACAACAATAAGAATCCCTCCTCAAAACTGCTTTCCTCTCTGGTTTATAGCGAGTGCAGCTACCAAAAACCACAACTGAATAAATTGTTCTGTCTTCGAATCCTAGTTCCAAAAATCTATTTCTATGAATTGACATAATCTGGTGGACCAAACATCTTCTATTTGTTTTGTGGTACGGTGAGATCAAATCTTATGTCGTGTATGATTTTGCGAATTGAATATCGTATCGACAGTAAAATCATATGATCTCATCGGGATCTAAAAATCTGTCACATTTTTCTCCATATCTAATCGAATATGTCTGAGATATGGTTTGCAGTTCGGAAATACTGCACAGTCCAAATATGAAATACAAAACAGATAAATTTAGGAAAGCTGAGAAGGTTAGGAGATAATATAGTGAAAGGTTATCCTAACTAATGTGCGACTTCCTATCATGTGCCTAGCATTTTACCACAGGTAACGAGGTGATTATATGTCGTTTTAATGGTAGTGGAATAATGGATTTAGTAATGTTCTTTTCTGTCGTTACATAGTTTCACATAGTCTATACATTGAAGCACTTACCTGATAAGAGAATCAGAGAAAATTCTGGGGCACAGATTAGATTGTATGCGTCTCGAATTTCGTTTATGTCTTCAGGCTGTAAATTAATGTAACTCTTCAGTAGAAGACATACTGTATGATTACAGGGATCAGTTGTTTACAGCACTACAAGTCGACATCTAGGTCTTAGAGATGGAAATCAAAAAGTGATGGAAGAACTAGGAATATTGAAATAGTTTCTGAATTTTCCTAGAGAAAATTTCCACACAATTTTAATTCATTTGTTGGTGATAAATTTAAAAAGAAGTTAGAGTCTGCCCAATCTCGTGATTCTGAAAGAATGTCTTAACGATTATTCCATTAGTCGCTCGACATAACAACACCTATATTGCTATTTCACGATTCTGCAAACTGAACAAGAATTAGAAACTCCGTTTCAAATAAGGTGACTTTCAACAGTTGAAAGGAACGGTTGCCAAAGGAGTTCTATGTGATGGAGTTTATCTATGGTATAAATCGGGATGACATACAACAAAGCATTACATCCTTACGGATAGGTGATCACTTATTAAAATCGTAAAATACTGATTTTAGAACACTTTAGGGACGCAAAAATTCATTCTCAAGTCAAATTTTCGTGAAGTTTCAATAACTGTGTTTAAATAATTGCAACGACGGAAACCCGCGGTTCGACTTGTAGGCCATCGCTTTGAAAGTTCCGCTATTAAAAGTGAGCGCAAATCTAATTTTCCCGCCAGTGCTTTTCGCGGAATATTCACTTTTATGGACCTTTGTAAAATGTACATTGTTTTGGATCACTCAAGATTACATGCTTGATCAAAAGGCAAACGCTTCCAACATTCCGGATAAGATACTGATAGTTTAGAATACTATTTTAAGAATTTGAGGAAAAATATTCATGAAAATCATATACCTACACTTTAGATATAAAGCTTTAACGTTAAAGCGCTTCTGGTTGAACTGTCATATTCGTGAGTGTTTAATTTCGTAATTTTAGGGTAGGGAGTTCATTCATTTCTCTTCATTGGTTTTCTCATCTTATCTACGTTAATAAATAGTTGTATTAAGTAGTTATTCAAATATGACGATGTTTGTTAAAGCGTGAGATGTTTCTCATAAAATATGAACCTTCCATATCGTGTTAAGGTTCTCAGCCAGTGCTTTCGAGAGGATTATATCAAGTCTTATCATTGGTCCGAAAAGTTTATTCACCACCTAGCATCGACATTCACATTTTGAGTATCAAGAGATAGCATCGTTATTTAACGTGTATCTGCTGTCATTAATTGCTATGGAAGGCTAGATAATTGCCAGTCTTGATGATTGCCCCTAATCGAATTGTCCATATGTCCATTTAATCAGTTTGACAGGTCATTCTTGTCGTTGGCTGTTTCACCGTCACTTGCGTAATTTTTCTTGTAAAAGCTGTCGTACATTGTCGCGTAATTCGACACATTACTACTTTTTTCTGTTCAGTGGTTGTTAGGTTTCTAAAGATAACTGTTCGGTGAAATCTCATTCTTGATACTTAATTTATCTTATGTAATTACATCTTGATTCTACATCTTAACTGTATAAAACCACTTGCAGCGCAGAAATTTTTCACATTAGAGTTTTTGATACTACATTTCTTAATAGTGTTCAACGGAACTTCAGGACGATGAACAGTTGGTCCTATTTAAAACATTTCCTCTTGTTTACCAAACTCATGTAGATTACAGCTCAAGCTAAATCTGAGATAAGCTATAATAGTGATTAACTCCTATCACTTGGTGACATTCGCTAACTGGAATTCGATGCACTTACACGTTCACTTAAATACTTTTATCAGACCCAAGATTTCAGTGTATGTACTTTTCGGGTCGTATTACGTTTCTAATGCACGTGGTCAGGCATCCTTGAAAGCCGACGAGTTATCAGTACCATTTAGTGAGCAGCCTCAAACAATAAAGATAGCCCATTCTAAAGTGTTTTCAGCACTTTATTTGAGAATAATACGAATCATTCTTGACTCCTAAAATTTCAAATCGTCTGTAAGGATTATTATCTATTTACATCCAGTTTCAGTACCGTTAAGAATATTCTAGTTATGGTTACTTTTCAGCCAACTACTGTTAAAGCATATTTTTTAAGACCTTAGATGGGAATAGGTATGACATTGGTCTTTTGGTCTTTGGAGCGTGCTGTTAAAATCAAAAAACAGGTTCGGACTTCATCCACTCCCTCTGTGTGAACCTGAATGTTTTAACTCAGTAGTTTTCGGAGCTTATCGCCGCTGGGGATCCGTGGGTTAAGATGAAGTGGACCTTCATTGTAACTGCTCTACTCTCTATCTACCCGCTATATCAACTTGCATTTATGTAGTCGTATTAACTTATTTTTAATCAAAGATTAATGATTTTGTTATTCTTCTTGGTATTCGCCAGATGGACCCTTATGGAGCAGTTTCTGCAGATCTGTTTGATATACCAGCTGCGGAACAAGAAATAACTGTCGGATCTAATGATCAACCAATTGCATCAGATGTGAATTCACCAGGAATTGGACACTCTACCGTATCTAGTGCGGGAACAATCACTGTAGGAGCAGATGGAACCTTACATTTTCAGAATACACCATCTAGTCAACAAGGTCCACGAGTCATAATGTTACAGAGGAGTGCCCCAGGATCTGGAGTAACCGTACCAAACTCACCCGCCCAACGTCCTGGATTGAAGGTAATATTTATACATCAGGTTACTTTTGTTTGTCAAGTATAATTTTCAGCAGTTATATATATTTGCAAGTCTTTTTAATACTCTGCTCTTAGCAGCCGTGTTTCACACCCGTATAGTAGGGCGAAGCGAACTGCTGTGCAGTAAACTCGTCCTTCGATTAGAAGACAGATATCTCGCCTACAACATGAGTGACGCAAGTTGGCGAAAGGCGACCGAGCCTTCTGTATCCGTGCTGAGATTTTGTCAGACTTGATCAAGCTCCCGAAATAAGGGAATCAGTGAACATGCTCAACTACTTCACTCCCTATCACTAGTTCAGGAGCCGATGCAAGCTAATCCTGAAGCAACATTTTGCATTTGGAGGGGGAGAATCACAACCCAAACATACTTGAATTGTCGCTCAGGGTAGTCAGGAGACACTGCATTTTGTCAGCGTCTTCATCAAGTAGAACTATGTCATCGGCACATTCTAAGTTAACAAGCGAATCTCATGGTAAAAGGTGAATTCCTCAAAAGTCAGATGATGAAATTGTCGTATCTAAAAGCATGTCAATGACAAAATTAAACATGAATAGAGAAAGTGGACAACCTTAATGACTACCACCGTTAACAGTTCTCCACAAGCTCTCAACGGGTTGTTTGTCGAGTAGAGAGCTTGTATAAGGTACTTGTTTAATGTGCTTCTATAGTACACCTTTAAATGATGCACTGCTATAGAACCTCACAGTTAACAGAGTCAAGTGACGCCTTAGAGTCAAAGAAAAAATATAACTATAGTGGAACGTCGAAATGTGTATCTATGTTCCAGGATCTGATGAAGGTGAATATGTGGTCTATACACCCACGTCCAGGTCTAAAACCAGCCTGGTTTTCTCGAGTCTGCTCTTCACGAGCACTAGTTTGGCGTCTAAGTATAATCGAGGCTAACAATCTAGAAATTATATTAGGTAGACTTATTCCCCTATGATTGTTACAAGATGACATTTGTCCCTTCTTATAGACTGGGCAATCAATGATTGAAACCAGTCAGATGAGAGTACGTCCAGTTCCCAGATTTTATCTAAGGTTCCAGTCAATCTAACTGCTAAAACTGGACCACTATCCTTAAAAGTCTCAAGGAAAGCCTGTCAGGTTATGCTGCTCTCCTTCTCCTTGGATTTCCAATAGCCTTCTCAACTTCATTAAGAGTCGGAGGACCTATATTTTGGCCCTAACCTTAACATCAAGGACTTGCAAGGACTAAATTCCACGGCTTTCCCTAACCTTATGGTTTACCTTACTAGCAGATATCACTGTTGTTTCCACAGCTTTTTGGATATCGCTTCAAGCTGCCTCGGAGTTGGAATCACTAACATGACCGCCCAGCTGCTTTTCTAGTTGCTTCTGAAATATATTCTTAGCTGTGCTATCATTAAGTAGAACCCTGAGAGGTTTCCTTGCGTTGTCTTTCCTATGTCCAGTAAGCCGCAAACAGATACGCGCTCGCACTAGAGCATGGAATCTAAATGAGCAACAGTCTTCTGTCGAGCCTCTTCATCGGTGGCTGATGGCGACGTGAGCTAGTTGGGTTCAATGTTGTGACGACTTTGGGGCTCACCATGTCAAAAGATGTTCATTCTTAAAGTTAGTATTTACTAGAAATGAGCGGTTTTCTGAGTATAGATGCAGCAGACAGTCGCCATTATCTGTTCTTTTAGCCGCGACGCCATAAAATTCACCCGTGCGTCCTTCCTTTTCAGTCAGTCTACATACTTGAGCGTTGAAGTCACCAGCCACTATTACTGCATCAGAGTGCTTAGCCTTTTGAAGGTTAGAAAGCTTTCCGTAAAATTCATCTTTGATCTCATCTGAACTGCAATCAGTGGGAGCGTAGGCAGCGACAACAAAGATTCAACGGTTAGTGTTTGTCCTTCCCAGTCCTTACTGTGTCATTTAGTCGGTCTTGTGTGCTGTTAGGGGTATGAGAGCGGATGTCACTTCGCGGCTGCCCACACCGTGGAAGGGTGTTTATTGGAGAACCTAAAAGGTAAATCGAGCTAGCGTTGGTCTGAGCGACCCGAGAGCGTGATCGCAGAGCCCAAGACACAACTGCTTGAGGCCGGTCATTCACGGCCTTTTTGTGAGAAGTTCTTAGTGTTAGCCTCCGCTCTTTAAATGGCTTTACCGCCGGAGATGGAAATCCGTGAGCTAAGGTGAGGTGTGACATTATAGGGTTGACCTTTTCTGACTCCTTCCTCCCATGTGGGAAGACAGCATCGCTGCAGATGCTGATCGTCCAAGGGAAATACCCTACTGCTGTCACACCCCTCTGCAGTCAGCAGTACGACTTCACCCTCAGACCTTGAGTAGCTGCTTTTAGTCTCATCGTTCTCCGGTAGACCTGCCTGGCATGGTAAAACCCTCAGGAACATACGTTCCAGCCGATGTAGCTCGGTTTGGTCATCACGACAGGCAAGCCTGACCACCACGTCAAGTTAGCAGCTATGGTCGGGTTGTGCATGGCAACTTTCTAGTTAGTGCTTAGTAATATAATTTATCTCCAATCATACTTGAAGATGTTATCCTTTATGACAGTAAAGACATTCACTTCATCAAATGTTCTTTTTTAATCTTTTTAAGACTGTGAAAATAATTACTGTTCCAGGTCAAGGTGCTGGAGGTAAACCTTTAAAGGCAGCAGGTAAGCACAACTAATTTTTATTTATTGGATTAAAGTTTGATTTATGAGCATGCTATAGATAACGAAATACAGTGCTCAGTCAATTAGTCACATGTAACGTAGAACTGTGTACATTTGTTCGTTGCGTATGGATAGGCTGCCGATCGATTGCTGATGTAATATGGTATGCTTCTAATTGTAAACTACTTTACAGTAGCGATTCTTTCGCTTCGAATGCAAAGTTTTGCTTCAACATTAGCTTTCCTCGGCTCCTAAATTAGTGATGAGGAATAAAATAGTTGGATAAGTCGACTGCTTTTACTATGTAGACGTGAAATATGGTCATTAAGAATAGAGAATATTCGTAGGCTACTAGTATTTGATCGGTCGTGTATTCTGAGAGCATCGAAAAAGGAATGCTGGGGTTGGGAATTGGGTTCCCGGTTAGGTAGAGGAAGTAGAGGATCTTCATCAGTTTAGGTGGTTAGGACACGTGTTACTTATGCCAAACCACCAACTGCCTCAATGAGAGATGTCATCTGGTGTCGGAGGAGTCTGGAAGAAAGCTAGTCGCTGCCAAATCAAAACACGGAATCAGTCCATAAAGTCATTAACATTTGTACTGACTGATTGTGGTAGGTGTAGACTATCTGGTTTGGGTGCGCTTGACAATCCTAACAGGCGTTAGAGACTTTGGATGACATGGTTCAAAATCGTTTGCGATCGCGCGTTAGTATCCACTTTTTGTCTTCTCCCAAATATCAAGCTTTTACATTCTTCATTACTTTTGTTTCCCTCCTTTTTTTCTAATTTGTTTCACCTTTTTGTAACTTCTCCATCCGTATCTTCGAATCACGCTTGAATTCCATGTTTAGGAATAATTCATTTAATAATTAATTATCCAGCATTGTTGAACATCAGTTAATATCTAGTTTCTATTGTCAACGATAATGTGTATCGTTCTTTTTTCAGTGATACCAATGCATATGCTCCAAAGAACAGTCAAAATACTTCCTGCTGGGGGTCAACAAGTGATAAATTCCAGCGGCGCTACCGTCACATCGAATTTTCCACGTGTTCTCACCATTCGTCCTCAGTTATCATCTGGTCCCACAGTACTGACCGGTGCTACTGCTATTACACCTGTAAGACCGGTAAGTGTATTACGTATAAATAGTTCTTAATTTCGACCACTTCAGAGGATATGGGCTTTTTGTGTAACATAATATACATATGTTCAGTTTAGGTTTTAGTCAACAATTTAAAGATATCTTTTTCGTTCCTACTTGTCTTACCACTTATTGGTGTATTCTGATTCATTATCCATGACTAGGGCACATTGATTTTTTCTGGCGCTTCAGCGACACAGTTTACCGGGTCTTCCGTCAGCTATCAAAATTCTGAAGATGTTGAGAATCAAATGATGATAGGGTCTGGAGGTGAAATTATTAATGGAGCTCCTCATGGTGTTCTTACAACTACTGGTTATTACGATATGAATATGCACAATGCTGCTGGCTTTGAACATTCAGCTAATCCAGCTGGGCGTGAGGAAGGTGATGAACAGGAGCAGTAAGTATTCGTTACTTGATATGTATTTGTTGTGTTCAAAGCTTAACTCACATTTCGTTTGTTAAAATTTTTTTTATCAATTATTTATTTTACTTATCAAAAATGTTCATTCTCGTTATAAGTGTGTCAGAGTTGTTGTTTTCAACCGCACATAGTCACAATGAGTAAACGGGTTTTCTTCTCATCTGTCTTGTAAAAATAAACCGCCTGAAAGCTTCAGTTGTATCGTCATAAAGAACAGTAATAAAAATATATAATTGTTTATTTTTAATATATAGATATATCTATTCCGTTTTTTGTTTATAAATTCTAGTATATTTGCTTACACTCTGTTGATTATTGAAATATTACTAACTCCATTCCATTACTGTTTGCATTGTAATTTGATATGTTACATCCTCCTGTTATAGGGTTCCGACCGGTCTAAAAACTAATGGTCTCCGACGTTATGCTCGCTGTGTTTGTAACAAAGTTAAAGAGAAAGGTATAACCTCCTATAGTGAAGTTGCTGATGAGCTTGTACACGAATATGCTGCTGAACATCCTATGATTCCATCTGAACAAGTAAGTTGCCACGTTTGTTTCTTGTCAGTGATTATTTTTAAACTTTAACCATGGACTACAAATCACTTTATTATTGCTATTATTATTTTTAGCTTCACTACATTCAGAAGAATATTCGTCGACGTGTTTATGATGCATTAAATGTCCTAATGGCTCTAAACGTATTACAAAAAGAGAAAAAAGAGATCCGTTGGGTTGGACTTCCCGTAAATATGATAGAAGAATGTCGACGTTTGGAAGAAGAACGTGAAAAGCGACAGATTTCTCTACGGAATAAAGTATGTTCATGATGTTATCAGATTAGTCACGATTTGGTCTCATTATTCAGAATAACATTGTGTGTACTATATCAACACTGTCCTGAACTAATGGGAATATGTCCCTTTTTCTCATGTATTAGTGAGTTGTCCAGCGTGGTTGAAAGTCTACATCCAGCTAATTATCCTGATTCGACAGTTCGTGTTCTCGAGTATGTAGTTTCTGCGGATCACCTGCCTTTCCCTTAAATCCCGTTTACATAATCATATTTTAAAGTGTTGTACATTATGTTAGTTCATCCCACATTCCCTAACTCTTGGTGAATGATGAATAGTCTGTGATTACAAGCAGATTTTGTTTTATTTAATTTCGGTATCTCAGTAATATCTCTTGGACCTCACATCACTACAAAAACCTGTATTTTCACTAAAACGCATTGATTTTTTTCAAATTTACATATTAGTTGTTTATTCGTGAGAGGATTCTTGGGTCTTCTGCAGATCAATCACCAAGTTATTGCTAAGTAACTTCACATAATAAAGCCTTGAAAATAATGGCCGTAACAAATATATACTAGATGACACAAACTAGGTTAAAGAAAAATGTTTATGTTGATATGATTGTTGTACCAATAATAATGCTCGCTTTTTTAAAAATACAATAATAATTGGCGCTGTCTGGGTTGATAGGGAAATTATATTTTATTTAAATCTAGTTTTAGTTAATTTTTCATGTCTGATTATTTTCGCTTAAGTACATTGTATGTAGTTCGTATACCACAATGATCACCATACTATTATTATGAATGAAAGACCTATTGCCTCTAAATTTCATAATGTTTATTTTCTTAAAATCTAAAAGTTTATGTAATCCTGGTTAGCGTTTTTTTGGCAAGTTAGTTTTTGACGGAATCCTGTGATCTTTAAAATTCCATAAGTGTCTTCTGAAGATTAGAACTTGCTAAAGTCACATGTTCATTTTAATGAAATTTATTAACTTCAACTCAAAATGTGTACACCTTCAAGTTAAATTTATTGCATATTTCTTGTATACTATTTGGCTTTCCAAACCGAGACAAGTGAACGTTTTTTCACCCTCCAACTCAGGTTGCTGAAATTGAAGTTTTCCAGCTATCGAATAACTTTTAACTACCCACATGTACAGCATTCTAGTACGTAGTGTGATTTTACTGTGCGAGGTAATTTACTTTAACTTCACCGATTGTTATGTATCGTGACTTCCACTCGAAATTTGGTTGTGTTTCAATACTCAAAAAAGCTGCTACATTAAAGCGAGATTTGCAACTTTTCTGAAAAGTATTATTCTCAGGCTCTTGCATTCGATTTTAAATGCTATCTTTTATTCAGAGTTTTCTATTATCAATTGTTATTTTAGACTGTCGAAATACAAGATTTAATCATGCAGTTGATTGCTTTTAAAAATCTTGTAATGCGCAATAAAATCAATGATCGTTGTAGACGTAATCGTATGGGCCCACAATCTCACACTTGTGATGGATCACGTAACATTGACACTGATGCAGATAAAATTATATCTAATGGTACTTCAAAAATTCGTAATGAGAAGATCCCTTTGCCATTTTTGGTGATATCTACTCACAGGAAAACTGTCATTGATTGCAATATTTCTACTGATAAGTAAGTTGAATCAGCTCGTAGTTCGTCTATCTATTCTACTGTCAGTTATCCTAGAGATATAGCTTTTCAATGTAGGAATACCATTGGATTACTGCGCGGCAGTTCTCTCCGTCCTACTTTGTGGCTGTGAAACATGGCCAGTCAGAGTAGAAAATATTCGTAGATTACTGGTTTTCAATCATAGGTGTCTCCGAAGCATTGCCCTAGTATCGTTGGACAGCCGAGTAAGCAATGCTGTTGTTAGGAAACGAGTACTAGGTAAGGATGGCAGATCAATAGATGAAGTGGTGAACCTTCATCAGTTGAGGTGGTTGGGATATGTGTTACGTATGCCTAACTACCGACTGCCTCGTCGAGCTATGTTTTGCGATATAGGAATAGGTTGGACGAAAGGTAGTTGCGGCCAGACCAAAACATGGTAGAAATCCATGAAGTCACTGACAAGTGGACTGAGTCATGTCGTTAGGTGTCGACTACCTAGTTGTGGTCCGCGAGATGCTGATAATCAATGGTTAGAGGCCCTGAGTGATATGGCTCAAAACCGTTTCCAATGCGCAGGTGCATCTACTCTTTGTGTTCTATGAAATTCTAACCTTCTGAATTCCTCATCAGCTCTATCTTTCTCTTTATAAATTTACCTCACTGAATTATATTTCTTGAATAACATCTTCGAACTCTAACCTAACTTACTTCTAATACTTTTACTACCTCTACTACGTACAAAGTTCTACGTTGTTGTTGATGATGATGAATATCATTGGATTAAGACATTTTAGCATAATTTTGTCTTTTTTTCTGACAAAAGTAATCGATATGATCCTTCACCAAGGTACAATCACTACTGGTTATATAGCAGGTAAACAAAAACAACATATGCTCTTACAAAAGGTTTTGTAGATCAAGTTATCTTGGTTTACACTAGAATATCAATCAGAAGACTATAAAGAAAAGAACGAAATAATTGACTAGATAGTGTCTTGACTTGTTATGACGTCAATATGTCTGTTATGGAGTAGGGTTTAATCGTCTGATGGGTGAATTTTCGGCTATCGAAATGAGGGAAAAGATTGATGGTCGGTAGATGATCAGAAATGATTCGATATGAGTTAGTGTTGGCTGCTCACGAGACCAACTTGTTAATGCATGCCTTTAAGTAACTCGAGGTCAAAGACTAAGTCATTAACTAACAGAGTAGATATTTTATCTCTTAAAATAACATGCTTGCATGGAAAATGTTAGATTGTTAGATTTTATAGACGATCAGAAACAAGTCAGTATTGTAAACCAGCTATTCTCGAGTGAATACAGCTCCAACTCTTTGATTTAATTTGAACCCGTTTCGAAGTAAGAGTTTGTAGTTTAAAAATGTTGGTTTTATTTGTAATAGTATTTGTTAGGTGTTATTCCGTTGATCTCTCTTTTTTGTGAGGTGATCGTATGAAAATAACAATACTGTTGTTGGTAGCAAAACTTAACGCAGAATATTATTTGAATGATTAAAAAAGCAAAGCAATAAAAAAGAACAATGTTACATAAACAGAGCTGAATAAATAAAAGAAATGTGTACTGCGTTGTAGCTAATTTTAAGCCACTCCAAACCTATAGGCATAATTGATGTATGAGCTTCAATCATGAAATTTACGTCTAACACAATTTAGACCGACGCTCAGTGTCTTTAAATACAAATATCAATGCCCACTTTGTTTGCACTTGCTTCCTCCTTACTTTACTGTCTTCCGTCTAGGTAGAATGTGGTTAAACTACCAAATAAGTCACTTTGTCGTTACACTGATTAATCGGACGTTGATATGAATCATGTCGTAACCCATTCGTTTTTCTAACCTTCTACTAGATTTTCACTCGTAATTTAACTTTTATCTTAATGTGACTCAACATTGAAATACACGATCATGTGGTCCAGATGAGGGCCACATATCCTGGGAGCCAAAATCGAAGTCACCAGAGTGGATTGTGAGTTTACGGCTTAGTGTTCGAAAGTTTCATGTTTTGATCATTAAACTACGTCTCTCGCGAACTTATTTTGAGGTCTGTTTTAAACAATTGTCTTACATTGCACACAGTTCGTGTAACAAAGTTGACTAATGTATGTCTTATTTCTCAAACACTGCGAGATACTTAGTAAAATATTCTTTATTGGGACCTGTTTCACTTACCTGTAAAGAGATTCATACTAACTTTTTCAGGTTGGAATATTTATTCAATTTCGATCAAGCCTACGAGATACGTGATGAAGTAGATACCTTAAAACGCATGGGTTTAATGCTTCGCCTTGGTACTATTCATTGTACACAGGAGGAGTATAATCAATGCTTGGAGTTGGTACCACCATCTCTACGATTTTATGTAGAGGGTAAGTAATCTTTTCTGTTTCTCATTAATGTTTTGCTCTAACCACCTGAATGAGGAATGAAAGTTTTTAAAAATATATATATACATTTATTTGATGTTGTATAGCATTACCGTCAGTTGATATTCTTCAGAAAAATAAAATGCATTTAATATAAAAGGTTTGAAGTACAGCTTTTATTGATTCACATATATGGACCTTAATAACTTCCTGTTAATAGTCTTCTAACCATCTATATTATGGCAATGCTTTAAGTGTTTTATTTAATAACAGTCATATTCCATATCCGAAAGAAATAAGAAGTTTAAACTCATAAAACTGGTTAATCCCATATAATATTTTATAACATACTTGCATGTTGTTTTCCTAATGCTATATTTTCTTACCACGCCACAGCAGAATTATTTTCGTATTGTAATTTGTTTTCCTAGGCACTTACCACCCAGTCCGTAAGGCTTACTTAACAGTCAGCCAATCAAATGCAACATAGAACCTAGTACGTATGTACATTGGTTCAACTTACCATACCTCTACTTAATAACCAAAATAAAAGTCGTGTTGCACAGATTACTTACGCTACCGAGATGTACTTCTTTTTCTTCATAGTAAAGCATTCTTTCTTGTTAAATCATATTCCTCAATTAAATGTAATGCTGGTATTCTTTTCTAGCTAATTCCTAAATTTTTATTAATTCATTGTCAGTTGGCATACATTAAGGACTTTATTAAACTCCTAAAGTTACCTTTTATTTTAAAATACTTTTTTGTATACTATATGTTTTTCACGGAGTACAAATGCTCCACAATACTTTATGTGAATCATGAAATACATTATAAAAATTCGTTTTTTTTTAGCCATTTACGAACGACGTCAGGCCATTGTACCAGACTTTGAAGCCCTTCATCAACAAAGAAGATTATTTGTTGAAGCTAGATTAGCTGCTGCAGCTGCAGCCGGTCACACAGATGAAGGTGGTGACACTATGGGATCTGGTGGTCATGGAGGGTCAGTTAACGTGCATCAGCAGTTAGATCATTCTTTACGGGGTAATCAGCGATCACCGCTTGATACCAACTCTCATTATACAAGCTTGTTCGATACAGGAAACACAAGCGTCAATGAAGGTGGTTTGCGGCAAGTTTATTTAAATCGAAGTCCAGATGATGAAGATAGTGGTCATATTCCTGGATCCGTTTCTAATAGTGGGTTTGTGCCTGGCGATACTCAGCATTATGCTCGAGCAGCGGCATCTCGTGGTTATGTTGTACCAGGTGGTCCAGGTGGGCTTTTACGCCATCGACAGCATACTCCAACCTCCGGAGTCTCAAGCATTTTAAACCGTCAGTTTAGAGGTGATGAAACCTCTCGTATGACTTCATCGACCTTGGTCAGAACCTTAATTAGTGATAGTCGTGAAATGGCTTCTTCCGTAATCGGTGTTAACAGTGAGCACCCAATGGCTCATAGTGATGATACAAATGATGAATTAGTGGATCCTGACGAAATTATTGGCGATCATGGTGATGATGAAGACGAAGATGAGGACGATGACGACATGGAAGATGTTTAAATCTTCATGCTAAAACTTAGAGACGATATTTTGCAATAATAATTTGTTTCTATCAATTACATCTGTATATTACATAATTTTGTACATCAGATTCTTCTCTTGATCATAAAAAAATCCATATTAAAAATTAAACAAATAAGGTTTCAAGATTTCTTATGAATTAAGTGTATAATTATATGTTTATTGTTTTATTTATTTCTTACTGACTGACTGTTTGTGTTCATTTTGATGTATTTTGCAGTCTATGGGTAAACATACCTTCATAGCTTTTTTTTGTTCACATGTTCATTTTTTTCTTATTTCCCCTTAAATTAGTGTTTCATTCACTTATAATAAAATTTTTGTATAGTATATTGTTTTCTATTCAATATAAATTGAGTTTAATCCTAACCAGTTTCATCAATGAATTAGGTGCCTTTATTGAAAAATTTGTCCGTTATAATGAAGCTTCAACACTTCACTTTGTATTTTTGTGTCTGGCTGTTAATTTAACAGTTAATTTTCTCGTTTTTCAAATAGATGGAAGCCCATTTTTATATAAACAATGATTTCTTCAGTATCTCTCCTTAATGGGGTTCTAGCAGAATTAATAACTATTTTTCCAAAATCTTTATTACACCACCCATCATTCGCATTGCTGGCATTCTTAATCAGCTTTTAGTCCCAAAACCTCATTATAATAATCAGTTCCACATCATTTTATTAATTCTGTTGTACATGTTAATCACTATCGTGTTGAGAAACATTTTTCAATTTGGTTTGGTATGGCTAGAAATGAACCCTTCCTAATTTGTATGTATATTATGTATTCATATTCCTTATATAATCCCGAATTACATATATTAAGATAAAACTAGCAACTGCGATCAATATTTAGTACAGTCAAGAAGAATATGGAATGATAAGCAGAAAACTGACAACTTCCAGCTGGAAAATTGCGTAAGGCATTAGCAGTTACTCATAAGTAGTACAGTTAGAATTCGTAAGTCTGGTAGAAAGTACCAATCAAATAAATCCCTATGTGGACCGTAAAAATTCATAAACCAAAACAGATAGCGAAATGTTCACTTTATCGTTGTCAAAAGAGAAATTCGTACTCAGTCATTAGGATGTTCAACGTGGTTATTAAGTATGAACACGAATACGCTATGCTTGTACTTGCAGAACCGTAATAAGTCTTCTGGCTTCAGTAGATCGATTATTACCCGCATTCCCTTGCTACATATAATTGACTTTCTAACCTATTGATCTAAACCTATAAATTTAATAGGATTTCAAACCAACCTTTACTTATTTGCAAAGCATTCTTTCTTTTTAATTGAATCCAATAATCAGTTTTGATTTTGAACTCAACCTGAAAATTACACTTTCACCAAAGTATAACCAGCTTAATTCAGTTTCCTATCTACATTAATTTTTCAGATTTTTCCCTATTCTATTTATTCCCGTCTTTACTTAAAACTGACATATTATCCTGTCATAATTTATAAGTGCTTAACAATTTTTTAGCATTACAACAAGTGCATCGTCTAATCCCTTAACGATCAATGTTCGATTCCTGCGGGGTGCAGGAGTCGTGGATGCGCACTGCTGAGGAGTCCCATACCAGGACGAAACGGCCGTCCAGTGCTTCCAGGTTTCTAATGGTGGTCTAACATTGATCGATTCATGGTTTCAAAAAATCCAATGAATTATCGTGTTATTAGAAAGGCCTTACTTTTTTCACTATCTCATAAAACGACCATGTTTTACTTGACAATCAACCTATTATAGTCGGGTGTAAGCAGCATCATTTGTATGTTTATAATTAACATAGATAAAACTTACGCTTATCATATAGAGTGTAATGTTCATCTAAATAAAATGAACATGATGCAAACTTATTGTAAATAACCTAAATAGAAATGCTTAATAGGTACACAATTTATAGCCTGATATATTTTTAACCAACAGGGTAACTTGGATGCAGCCGATATAATATAATGGTCTAAATTAGCGTCCTGTCAATAGGTTTATATCCACAGTTGCGTTTTCCGAGTGAGGCTGATATATGGATTAGGACTCAAAAAATACTTTGTTGTAGATATGAGGATTGTCCATATATGCATTTAGTAATTTTACATCCATCGACATATAGGTTTAGAACAGAAAATTTATTTTTATATGCCTCGGATAGTGTTTTTTATTCGATTACATTAGTTTAATGTTATTTACCTAATATAATAAAAAGGATAGAAACCAATAATTCAAATAAAGCATGTGGTACACTCTAGTTAGTTGTATAGTTTCATGAGATTCGGAAGTAAATTTCATCATGTATTAACAGCTTTAGAACTGATAAGAACCAGGCATGCTAGAACAATTATTTAGTCTCAGCTTGTTATCGTGCTCGGCGTATTTTTCGTAGGTTCTGAGCCTCACTTGACAGTGGTATTTCCCAATGGTAGTTTGAAACTTGTGGGGGATTCATTCGTTAGTGGGACATAGCGGACACACTTAGTTTTATTCAGTCATCAAAAGTATTCTCTATCATCATAATGATTGTTTATTTAGAAATCAATTTGTAATATGGTCGTCAATATTTTGTGTTTATAGATGAGTTATTCTTCAAAACAGTCAGAAAATCCCAATATTGAACTAAATCAACCACCTTGTAAGTATGGAAGAAATTGTTATCGGAAAAATCCTCAGCATTTTGAAGAATACTCTCATTCAGGTTAGTTTGTAACGAGTAACTTCTTGATTCATTAATACCATGAATCTAACAATGTTAGGATTAAACAGCTGTCCAGGTTTCTAATGGTGGTTTAATATTTATCGTTTCATGATTTCGATCAAACTCAACAGTCTCCACAACCCTATAATCACCTTCCAAATTATTTGATATAACGTATAATGGTTGCGATACTTGATCTATTCAGTCAGTCAGCTACAACGTGGAACTTTGTACGTACGTACATCTGTCCAAGTTCCCATACTATTTTAGCATAGAGAGATAGAATTGTCAATTCAAGTCCCGTAGTAATAGGGGTATTAGAGTAATGGAGAAGACTAGGGTTCGGCGATATTCAAGGAATATGATCCAGTGAAATAAATTTAAAAAGGGAAAAAAACTGTCATGAAGGATTCAGAAGATTAGAATTTGAGAGAACAGAAAGAACGGATGTAACTGCGCTATTGCAAACGATTTCGAGCAATGTCATCCGAAGTCTAACCATCGGTTACTATTGTCTCGCGGACCCAAACCAGGCAGTCTACACCTGCTTACATGAGTCAGTGCAATTGCCAATGACTTCATGGATTTGTGCCAACTTCTGGTGAAGACTGATTTTATTCCCAGTCATTAAGAATTCCGCTTGGGTTTCGTTTAAATAAACTAAGTGTTCGTTCTCACTTTTTCACATTGGATGTTGATAAATCAACTTCAATCAAGTTATTATGCATAGTTTGGGCAGTTTTATTCTTGCTGCAGATATATGATAATCTAGTCAAATAAATTCTTACCGTACAATCACATGTTAACACCTTAGTCTGTTTTGTTCTGGATGCATCTCGTCAGTGCCATTAGACTTGATATACTGTCCAGTATAGTGTCTCGTTAAATTCGCCCTTCTTTTTGTCTATATTTCTATAAATCAACTATCTAAATGTTTCAATACGTATAGATCAGTGAGAAGAAAAATCAGGTTAATTCATTTATATCGTCCTCATATTGTTAGTGGTCACATAGCATAATTGTATCTCATCAACTTGTAATAATTCTTGATAATGATCAGAGAATCACTTCCACTTATTTTATGTTGATGAATAAGATATGCACGGAACATGATTTTGAAATTTCAATCTTAATTGAAGGTTTTAATGATATATTGGTACGTGAGCTATTGTTATTTTTGGCTTATGTTATTTAGCTCTACTAGTTTTGTTATAGTTATTTAGCGGTTTGAGTAAGAAACTCCTCCTTTTGCTTATTTAGTGTTTTGGGTTTTAAACTCACTGACATGTTGTTCCATATATTCCAAAGATGCTACAGTATTGGCTGCTGATCATACGACGAACGCAAGCATCTCCAGAGATTCAGGAGATGCATCAACTGATGAAAGTTTCTATGGCATTTATCTTTTCCGAGTATCTGGTGTGAAGTACGGACGAATTCCTACAATAACCTTAAACGGTAAGTTACTAACATGACCTCATGTACTTCTCTACAAATCACACTCTAAACGAGAAAGCTAGTGATTCTACCTGGTCGGTTAAACTGAAATAAGTGAATCGGAACACGAAATTGGGACTTGATCACTAAACGTCTAAAGTCTTAGCCACCGGTCTACCGTAAAAGAGCAAAGAAATTGATTTAATTCTCTAAGGTTAAATTAAGACTGAAAGGCAATCCATGTTAAACACATTGTAAACCACATTAGTATCGACCTATTTTAGCTAAAAATATCAGCATTCGTTATATGCCATCAACTGATTAAAACCAATATTTTCGATTCTTAATAGTTGATCCTACGGTTTAAAAATAACTAACAGGTAAGATTAAATTGTATTAAGTTCCTTTCCAACAAAGGGCTGCAAACACTAACTGTTAAAGAGCAGCAGCCTATCTGACAGTATCTAATCTCCAATAATTTTTTCACTTGTTATAATTACCTCGCATTATATTGTCCATAATCTTTTTACCTACTGTATTTTGTTTTTCATTTGTTTTCATTTCTATAGAAATTCTTAATTCCTCTAACGATGAACTTGTATCTTCAGTTCAAGTAAGCTTGAATTTTCCTAACAAATATGATGATATACTTTTGATTCTGTTTCTTTTTATAAAGCATAAGCTTTTTGATAACTTGACTAAAATTTATTTAACGTCGCCTCATGTAGAAGGAAGTCGATAGGAATTTCGAGGCGAAAAGGAAGAGCTATTGCAAAGTTGAGTGCAACATTTTTGAAAAGAAACGATCGGTTATTAAATAGAGATTCCAATAAGGCCATAAGATTTGAAACAAAGACCTAATGGTTCTATCTAAATAGAATCCAGACAGTCCTAATAGAAGATTTGTCGAAGCACACCGTCACAGTCATCTCTACAACCTACATCTTTCTTCACTCTGGGGTGCCGTTAAGAGTAGAAGATGTTCGTAGGTTATTAGTATTCGATCATAGATGTCTCCGAAGCATTGCTCAAGTATCGTGGGACAACCGAGTAAGCAATGCTGTCGTTAGGAAATGAGTACTAGGTAATGATGGCAGATCAATAGCTGAAGTGGTGAAACTTCATCAGTTGAGGTGGTTGGGACATGTGTTACGAATGACTAAACACCGACTGCCTCGATGATCTATGTTTTGTGGTGTAGGAGTAGGTTGGGAGAAAAGTACGGGCGGCCAGACCAAAACATGGCAGAAATGCATGAAGTTACTGACAAGTGGACTGAGTCATGTTGGTAGATGTAGGCTACGTGGTTGGGGTCCGCGAGACGAAAGTAACCGATGGTTAAAGTACATAAACGACATGGCTCAAAATCGTTTGCAATGGCGGAACTGCATCACCTCTACTATCTCTGTCACTATGGGATTTGATTTGACATTTGTGTCTCTGTGCTAATGTGGTATGGCAACATGAACATATGTACATACGTACGAAGTTCTACGTTGCAACTGACTGACTGTCGATAGTGTAGGAGATTAGCCCGACTCCCCCCTGGCAACTCTTGCATTAGCTCACGTGGAGGTTAATCCCCGCTACCCAGGGACCACTACGTGGAAATGCATATCGGGCTTTGCCAACCTTAATTGACTTTTACTAATTATTTATTTTTCGTACTTAAGATCACGATTCCATCACCAGGGATCGAACCCCAGACTGCAGGTTCTTCAGCAGTTGCTTAACTAAGACTATCCTGTGATAACTATGGAATTGAAATATTTCCCATAAACTCTTGTAGATTGGTTGCCTTTTGGAATCTTGGGATTTTATTTCCCTTACCATTCAGTACATATTTTTAGAAGGTTTTAGCAAAGTATACAAATGACACTACAGATTATAGTCAACTGCGGATACTGTGCTCACTGATTGGATATGTAGGTAATATTTAGATCCTGTGATCTGTGATTTTTCAGTGTCACATGTTAACTGTGTTTACATTCATCAGTAGTTTATTTTTACTTAATATGTATCAAAATTCAGATTAAAAATATTAACAACTGGATGTTGTTTTTTCGGCAATGAAACGTATATATTGTAAATTTATCATAGGTTGAACTATAAATCGGTTTTTTTTTGTTTCAAAACTAGTATTTTGTTTAGATAGTTTCATAGCTATGAATGTTAATACATCATCTAGTTCCGTTGTCTGTCATACAATAAATCAATAAATAATCTATGGGATTAAGTCAAAGCTTATAGGTTAATAACTTGTCATTGACTACATCCATTTTTCCTTCAATCCATTTATAATATACGTTTTGTGATGTTTTCTCACTGTGATGATTTTCATTGTACAGTTACTTTTTTTTTTTAAAAATTTGAAGTATCGTTAAGCAGTGATTTTAAATAGTTTGATTATTTTTTGTTATTGATAATTTCAGTTTAATTATATGTTTGATATACCCTGGCTAAGAGAACAATATCCTAAACGCTACAGGTTAGTATACCCTAGTAATTAATTAGATCAGATGTTTAGTTTAACAAACTTTTCAAATCATCGTATTATTACTTTAAAAGGTCAGGCATTGAATTTCATTCTAGTTGGAATCTTAAAACATATTTAATGGCTTGGGATGTGACTGCAATTTAGTCGAATATTTGAATGTGCTCTTGCGAATGTGTGCGAACTACCGTTTGTGCGACGGCAGTAATAAGAAGCTAAGTACGAATTCAGTTGGATAAGTTTATTTGATGCTATAGTTCATGCAGACAGAAACGACTATACAAAGAGTAAAAGCTAAGCAACGCGAAATGAAGTAGGCGGGTGAAAGCCAACTCCTTGTTATAATGATGCTTAAGTGTGGATAGTTAAACAAGTGACAAGTGAAGTAAGCACTCAAGTCAAAACCATCAAGCTACGAGTGAACAATTGACAAGGTCAAAGGATGTGCTTATAGTAATTCGGGCAGAAAAGGTTAATCCGTTTGTCTAAAAGCTAAGACAAGCAGCCATGTAGGCTCAACATATTAGTACACACACTACACATATTTCTACATGATTTATTTATTACTCAACCGGTCATTATCATCTACAAATTCAATTTTTCCAATGTTTCTAGAAATTTTATTCAACAAAAAGTTGCTGTTGTCCATTTCATTGTACAAATAACTATTTAAATAGGTACTTGCACTTGTTTTAATCAATTCTAATGTAGTTAGTTATCATTTGATTAATCTGTAGGAAAAGTTGATTATTGTTAAATAGATCATTCAACTGAAACAAATCAACTCTTTCATAGGATTTTTTATTTTTGATTTGTCATCAATTGACTGTTGTTTTTAGATTTCTTTGTTTATTCTCTTCTTTTTTTTTCTATCGTTTTATAGTATTTTTTTTTTCTGTTTTCTTTCATAGATCACTACCACTCACTATTGTACATGGTTTTCAAGGAACTATGAAAAAATCATTGGATGAATCTGCTGCAAATTACAGCAATATACAGATTTGTCAAGTATGCAGTTTATAAATTGTTCTAAAATAAATAAAAATAAAAACTAAGTCAATTTAGTCAATTTCTCATAAAAGTCTTTTGAAAGATAGTTGCAATCATTGATTTTTGCATTTTTTGTTTTCAAATTTAATTATTTTCGATTTTAGATCTAGTGGTTAATTTAAAAAATACTGTACAGATTGGCGGAGATAACTAAGTTCCATAATTTGTATGACGGAATAATTTTAGGTGTATAATCATGGCGTATGGACGTGTTGTCGGTTCGCCGCTGCTGTGGAACTGCATCTCCTGACGTTGCTCCAATGTCTTTCGGATTAAACCTGTGGTGGACCCAAGGCTTGAGAAAAGGCCCCTTAAGAAACCCATTTACATCGGTTTAGGCCCTTGAATAGTATCCCAGTCCACTCAAAAATTCAATAATTCCATATCAACACTATTTACTCACATACGAACTGAATGGAAAGAATGAACAGACAATAAGTTTACTGTTTCATTATTAAAAATAAAAAATTACTTTCTCGCAAGCGGTAATCGAATTCAGGATCTTTCAGAATTCTTAAATTCTAGACCGCTGAGCCGACATCCGACGGTGTTAATGTCTAACTTCAATCAGTCCACGTTATCGCGTGGCCTCATCCATTGTCTTCGATGGGTAACTGCCTCACACTCGACACGGTTAACTCCACTCGACACGGCTTCACAGTAGAACTCTTAGAATTTCCTCACGAAGCTAGTCAATAATGAGCACATGATAATTGTCGTATCAGTTTGAGATATAGCTTAGAATAGATGTCAGGTGGGATCCTTCCTTAGTTTCTTATCACGGTCATCGTTATCAGTATAACCTATCTTCAGACTAAACGAAATATAATTAGGTAGTATTAGAGTTTGAGGTTCATATTTATCATATCGTACTTATTTAAATATTATATGATTCTCCCACTTTTGCTCTTTAATGTATACCATTATTTTAAAGAGCAAAAGTGGGAGAATCATATAATATTTAAATAAGTGCGATATGATAAATATGAACCTCAAACTCTAATACTACCTAATTATATTTCGTTTAGTCTGAAGATAGCTTATACTGATAACGATGACCGTGATAAGAAACTAAGGAAGGATCCCACATGACATCTATTCTAAGCTATATCTCAAACTGATATGACAATTATCATGTGCTCACTATTGACTAGCTTCGTGAGAAAATGCTGAGAGGTGTACTGTGAAGACCTGTCTGGTGGAGTTCACCGTGTCGAGTGTGAGGCAGTTACCCATCGAAGACAATGGATGAGGCCACGCGATAACGTGGACTGATTGAAATTAGACATTAACACCGTCGGATGTCGGCTCAGCGGTCTAGAATCTAAGAATTCGTGCGACAAAGGTCCGAATTCGATTACCGCTTGCGAGAAAGCAATTTTTATTTTTAATAATGAAACCGTAAACTTATTGTCTGTTCATTCTTTCCATTCAGTTCGCATGTGAGTAAATAGTGTTGATATGGAATTATTGAATTTTTGAGTAGACTGGGATACTATTCAGCTGCCTAAACCGATGTAAATGGGTTTCTTCAGGGGCCTTTCCTCAAGCCTTGGGTCCACCACAGGTTTAATCCGAAAGACATTGGAGCAACGTCAGGAGATGCAGTTCCACAGCAGCGGCGAACCGACAACACGTCCATACGCCATGATTATACACCTAAAATTATTCCGTCATACAAATTATGGAACTTAGTTATCTCCGCCAATCTGTACAGTATTTTTTAAATTAACCACTAGATCTAAAATCGAAATAATTAATTTTGAAAAAAAAAATGAAAAAATCAATGATTGCAACTATCTTTCAAAAGACTTTTATGAGAAATTGACTAAATTGACTGAGTTTTTATTTTTATTTATTTTAGAACAATTTATAAACTGCATACTTGACAAATCTGTATATTGCTGTAATTTGCAGCAGATTCATCCAATGATTTTTTCATAGTTCCTTGAAAACCATGTACAATAGTGAGTGGTAGTGATCTATGAAAGAAAACAGAAAAAAAAAATACTATAAAACGATAGAAAAAAAGAAGAGATTCAACAAAGAAATCTAAAAACAACAGTCAATTGATGACAAATCAAAAATAAAAAAATCCTATGAAAGAGTTGATTTGTTTCAGTTGAATGATCTATTTAACAAGAATCAACTTTTCCTACAGATTAATCAAATGATAACCAACTACATTAGAATTGATTAAAACAAGTGCAAGTACCTAGTTAAATAGTTATTTGTACAATGAAATGGACAACAGCAACGTTTTGTTGAATAAAATTTCTAGAAACATTGGAAAATTTGAATTTGTAGATGATAATGACCGGTTGAGTGAGTAATAAATAAATCATGTAGAAATATGTGTTGTAGTGTGTGTACTAATATGTTGAGCCTACATGGCTGCTTGTCTTAGCTTTTAGACAAACGGATTAATCTTTTCTGCCCGAATTACTATAAGCACATCCTTTGACCTTGTCAATTGTTCACTCGTAGCTTGATGGTTTTGACTTGAGTGCGTATGTACATTGCTTACTCCACTTACTTCACCTGTTTAACTATCTACACTTAAGCATCATTATGACAACAAGTTGGCTTTCACCCGCCTACTTCATTTCGCTTTGCTTAGCTTTTACTCTTTGTATACTCGTTTCTGTCTGCATGAACTATAACATCAAATAAACTTATCCAACTGAATTCGTATTTAGCTTCTTATTACTGCCGTCGCACAAACGGTAGTTCGCACACATTCGCAAGAGCACATTCAAATATTCGCCTAAATTACAGTCACAGCCCAAGCCATTAAATATGTTTTAAGATTCCAACTAGAATGAAATTCAATGCCTGACCTTTTAAAGTAATAATACGATGATTTGAAAAGTTTGTTAAACTAAACATCTGATCTAATGAAATACTAAGGTATACTAACCTGAAGCGTTTAGGATATTGTTCTCTTAGCCAGGGTATATCAAACATATAATTAAACTGAAATTATCAATAATAAAAAATAATCAAACTATTTAAAATCACTGCTTAATGATAATTCAAATTTTAAAAATAAAAAGTAACTGTACAATGAAAATCATCACAGTGAGAAAACATCACAAAACGTATATTATAAATGGATTGAAGGAAAAATGGATGTAGTCAATGACAAGTTATTAACCTATAAGCTTTGACTTAATCCCATAGATTATTTATTGATTTATTGTATGACAGACAACGGAACTAGATGATGTATTAACATTCATAGCTATGAAACTATCTAAACAGAATACTAGTTTTGAAACAAAAAAAAAAACCGATTTATAGTTCAACCTATGATAAATTTACAATATATACGTTTCATTGCCGAAAAAACAACATCCAGTTGTTAATATTTTTAATCTGAATTTTGATACATATTAAGTAAAAATAAACTACTGATGAATGTAAACACAGTTAACATTTGACACTGAAAAATCACAGATCACAGGATCTAAATATTACCTACATATCCAATCAGTGAGCACAGTATCCGCAGTTGACTATAATCTGTAGTGTCATTTGTATACTTTGCTAAAACCTTCTAAAAATATGTACTGAATGGTAAGGGAAATAAAATCCCAAGATTCCAAAAAGCAACCAATCTACAAGAGTTTATGGGAAATATTTCAATTCCATAGTTATCACAGGATAGTCTTAGTTAAGCAACTGCTGAAGAACCTGCAGTCTGGGGTTCGATCCCTGGTGATGGAATCGTGATCTTAAGTACGAAAAATAAATAATTAGTAAAAGTCAATTAAGGTTGGCAAAGCCCGATATGCATTTCCACGTAGTGGTCCCTGGGTAGCGGGGATTAACCTCCACGTGAGCTAATGCAAGAGTTGCCAGGGGGGAGTCGGGCTAATCTCCTACACTATCGACAGTCAGTCAGTTGCAACGTAGAACTTCGTACGTATGTACATATGTTCATGTTGCCATACCACATTAGCACAGAGACACAAATGTCAAATCAAATCCCATAGTGACAGAGATAGTAGAGGTGATGCAGTTCCGCCATTGCAAACGATTTTGAGCCATGTCGTTTATGTACTTTAACCATCGGTTACTTTCGTCTCGCGGACCCCAACCACGTAGCCTACATCTACCAACATGACTCAGTCCACTTGTCAGTAACTTCATGGATTTCTGCCATGTTTTGGTCTGGCCGCCCGTACTTTTCTCCCAACCTACTCCTACACCACAAAACATAGATCATCGAGGCAGTCGGTGGTTAGGCATACGTAACACATGTCCCAACCACCTCAACTGATGAAGTTTCACCACTTCAGCTATTGATCTGCCATCATTACCTAGTACTCATTTCCTAACGACAGCATTGCTTACTCGGTTGTCCCACGATACTTGAGCAATGCTTCGGAGACATCTATGATCGAATACTAATAACCTACGAACATCTTCTACTCTTAACGGCACCCCAGAGTGAAGAAAGATGTAGGTTGTAGAGATGACTGTGACGGTGTGCTTCGACAAATCTTCTATTAGGACTGTCTGGATTCTATTTAGATAGAACCATTAGGTCTTTGTTTCAAATCTTATGGCCTTATTGGAATCTCTATTTAATAACCGATCGTTTCTTTTCAAAAATGTTGCACTCAACTTTGCAATAGCTCTTCCTTTTCGCCTCGAAATTCCTATCGACTTCCTTCTACATGAGGCGACGTTAAATAAATTTTAGTCAAGTTATCAAAAAGCTTATGCTTTATAAAAAGAAACAGAATCAAAAGTATATCATCATATTTGTTAGGAAAATTCAAGCTTACTTGAACTGAAGATACAAGTTCATCGTTAGAGGAATTAAGAATTTCTATAGAAATCAAAACAGATGAAAAACAAAATACAGTAGGTAAAAAGATTATGGACAATATAATGCGAGGGAATTATAACAAGTGAAAAAATTATTGGAGATTAGATACTGTCAGATAGGCTGCTGCTCTTTAACAGTTAGTGTTTGCAGCCCCTTGTTGGAAAGGAACTTAATACAATTTAATCTTACCTGTTAGTTATTTTTAAACCGTAGGATCAACTATTAAGAATCGAAAATATTGGTTTTAATCAGTTGATGGCATATAACGAATGCTGATATTTTTAGCTAAAATAGGTCGATACTAATGTGGTTTACAATGTGTTTAACATGGATTGCCTTTCAGTCTTAATTTAACCTTAGAGAATTAAATCAATTTCTTTGCTCTTTTACGGTAGACCGGTGGTTAAGACTTTAGACGTTTAGTGATCAAGTCCCAATTTCGTGTCCCGATTCACTTATTTCAGTTTAACCGACCAGGTAGAATCACTAGCTTTCTCGTTTAGAGAGTGATTTGTAGAGAAGTACATGAGGTCATGTCGGTAACTTACCGTTTAAGGTTATTGTAGGAATTCGTCCGTACTTCACACCCGATACTCGGAAAAGATAAATGCCATAGAAACTTTCATCAGTTGATGCTTCTCCTGAATCTCTGGAGATGCTTGCGTTCGTCGTACGATCAGCAGCCAATACTGTAGCATCTTTGGAATATATGGAACAACATGTCAGTGAGTTTAAAACCCAAAACATTAAATAAGCAAAAGGAGGAGTTTCTTACTCAAACCGCTAAATAACTATAACAAAACTAGTAGAGCTAAATAACATAAGCCAAAAATAACAATAGCTCACGTACCAATATATCATTAAAACCTTCAATTAAGATTGAAATTTCAAAATCATGTTCCGTGCATATCTTATTCATCAGCATAAAATAAGTGGAAGTGATTCTCTGATCATTATCAAGAATTATTACAAGTTGATGAGATACAATTATGCTATGTGACCACTAACAATATGAGGACGATATAAATGAATTAACCTGATATTTCTCCTCACTGATCTATACGTATTGAAACATTTAGATAGTCGATTTATTAAAATATAGACAAAAAGAAGGGCGAATTTAACGAGACACTGCACTGACGAGATGCATCCAGAACAAAATAGACTAGGTAGGTGTTAACATGTGATTGAACGGTAAGAATTTAATTGACAAGATTATCATATATCTGCAGCAAGAATAAGACTGCTCAAACTATGCATAATAACTTGATCTAAGTTGATTTATCAACATCCAATGTGAAAAAGTGAGAACGAACGCTTAGTTTATTTAAACGAAACCCAAGCGGAATTCTTAATGACTGGGAATAAAATTAGTCTTCACCAGAAGTTGGCACAAATCCATGAAGTCATTGACAATTGTACTGAATCATGTAAGCAGGTGTAGACTGCCTGGTTTGGGTCCACGAGACAATAGTAACCGATGGTTAGATAGACTTCGGATGACATTGCTCGAAATCGTTTGCAATAGTGCAGTTACATCCGTTCTTTCTGTTCTCTCAAATTTTAATCTTCTGAATCCTTCATGACAGTTTTTTTCCCTTTTTAAATTTATTTCACTGGATCATATTCCTTGAATATCGCCGAACCCTAGTCTTCTCCATTACTCTAATACCTCTATTACTACGGGACTTGAATTGACAACTCTATCTCTCTATGCTAATGTAGTATGGGAACTTGGATAGATGTACGTACGTACAAAGTTCCACGTTGTAGCTGACTGACTGAATGGATCAAGTATCGCAACCATTATACGTTATATCAAATAATTTGGAAGGTGATTATAGGGTTGTGGAGATTGTTGAGTTTGATCGAAATCATGAAACGATAAATATTAAACCACTATTAGAAACCTGGACAGCTGTTTAATCCTAACATTGTTAGATTCATGGTATCAATGAATCAAGAAGTTACTCGTTACAAACTAACCTGAATGAGAGAATTCTTCAAAATGCTGAGGATTTTTCCGATAACAATTTCTTCCATACTTACAAGGTGGTTGATTTAGTTCAATATTGGGATTTTCTGACTGTTTTGAAGAATAACTCATCTATAAACACAAAATATTGACGACCATATTACAAATTGATTTCTAAATAAACAATCATTATGATGATAGAGAATACTTTTGATGACTGAATAAAACTAAGTATGTGTCCGCTATGTCCCACTAACGAATGAATCCCCCACAAGTTTCAAACTACCATTGGAAAATACCACTGTCAAGTGAGGCTCAGAACCTACGAAAAATACGCCGAGCACGATAACAAGCTGAGACTAAATAATTGTTCTAGCATGCCTGGTTCTTATCAGTTCTAAAGCTGTTAATACATGATGAAATTTACTTCCGAATCTCATGAAACTATACAACTAACTAGAGTGTACCACATGCTTTATTTGAATTATTAATTTCTATCTTTTTTATTATATTAGGTAAATAACATTAAACTAATGTAATCGAATAAAAAACACTATCCGAGGCATATCAAAATAAATTTTCTGCTCTAAACCTGTATGTCGATGGATGTAAAATTACTAAATGCATATATGGACAATCCTCATATCTATAACATAGTATTTTTTGAGTCCTAATCCATATATCAGCCTCACTCGGAAAACGCAACTATGGATATAAACCTATTGACAGGACGCTAATTTAGACCATTATATTACATCGGCTGCATCCATGTTACCCTGTTGGTTAAAAAATATATCAGGCTATAAATTGTGTATCTATTAAGCATTTCTAATTAGGTTATTTAAAATAAGTTTGCATCATGTTCATTTTATTTAGATGAACATTACACTCTATATGATAAGCGTAAGTTTTATCTATGTTAATTATAAACATACAAATGATGCTGCTTACACCCGACTATAATAGGTTGATTGTCAAGTAAAACATGGTCGTTTTATGAGATAGTGAAAAAAGTAAGGCCTTTCTAATAACACGATAATTCATTGGATTTTTTGAAACCATGAATCGATCAATGTTAGACCACCATTAGAAACCTGGAAGCACTGGACGGCCGTTTCGTCCTGGTATGGGACTCCTCAGCAGTGCGCATCCACGACTCCTGCACCCCGCAGGAATCGAACATTGATCGATTCATGGTTTCAAAAATGTGTAACTTAACAATCTTCACAACCCCGTAATGCAAATTCATTGGATGTACTGCGCAGATTTAAGGGATTAGACGATGCACTTGTTGTAATGCTAAAAAATTGTTAAGCACTTATAAATTATGACAGGATAATATGTCAGTTTTAAGTAAAGACGGGAATAAATAGAATGGGAAAAATCTGAAAAATTAATGTAGATAGGAAACAGAATTAAGCTGGTTATACTTTGGTGAAAGTGTAATTTTCAGGTTGTGAGTTCAAAATCAAAACTGATTATTGGATTCAATTAAAACGAAAGAATGCTTTGCAAATAAGTAAAGGTTGGTTTGAAATCCTATTAAATTTATGCGTATTCGTGTTCATACTTAATAACCACGTTGAACATCCTAATGACTGAGTACGAATTTCTCTTTTGATAACGATAAAGTGAACATTTCGCTATCTGTTTTGGTTTATGAATTTTTACGGTCCACATAGGGATTTATTTGATTGGTACTTTCTACCAGACTTACGAATTCTAACTGTACTACTTATGAGTAACTACTAATGCCTTACGCAATTTTCCAGCTGGAAGTTGTCAGTTTTCTGCTTATCATTCCATATTCTTCTTGACTGTACTAAATATTGATCGCAGTTGCTAGTTTTATCTTAATATATGTAATTCGGGATTATATAAGGAATATGAATACATAATATATATACAAATTAGGAAGGGTTCATTTCTATCCGTACCAAACCAAACTGAAAATGTTTCTCAACACGATAGTGATCAACATGTACAACAGAATTAATAAAATGATGTGGAACTGATTATTATAATGGGGTTTTAGGACTAAAAGCTGATTAAGAATGTCAGCAATGCGAATGATGGGTGGTGTAATAAAGATTTTGGAAAAATAGTTATTAATTCTGCTAGAATCCCATTAAGGAGAGATACTGAAGAAATTCATTGTATATATAAAAATGGGTTTCCATCTATTTGAAAAACGAGAAAATTAACTGTTAAATTAACAGCCAGACACAAAAATACAAAGTGAAGTATTGAAGCTTCGTTATAACGGACAAAGTTTTCAATAAAGGCACCTAATTCATTTATGAAACTGGTTAGGATTAAACTCAATTTATATTGAATAGAAAACAATATACTATACAAAAATTTTATTATAAGTGAATGAAACACTAATTTAAGGGGAAATAAGAAAAAAATGAACATGTGAACAAAAAAAAAGCTATGAAGGTATGTTTACCCATAGACTGCAAAATACATCAAAATGAACACAAACAGTCAGTCAGTAAGAAATAAATAAAACAATAAACATATAATTATACACTTAATTCATAAGAAATCTTGAAACCTTATTTGTTTAATTTTTAATATGGATTTTTTTATGATCAAGAGAAGAATCTGATGTACAAAATTATGTAATATACAGATGTAATTGATAGAAACAAATTATTATTGCAAAATATCGTCTCTAAGTCTTAGCATGAAGATTTAAACATCTTCCATGTCGTCATCGTCCTCATCTTCGTCTTCATCATCACCATGATCTCCAATAATTTCGTCAGGATCCACTAATTCATCATTTGTATCATCACTATGAGCCATTGGGTGCTCACTGTTAACACCGATTACGGAAGAAGCCATTTCACGACTATCACTAATTAAGGTTCTGACCAAGGTCGATGAAGTCATACGAGAGGTTTCATCACCTCTAAACTGACGGTTTAAAATGCTTGAGACTCCGGAGGTTGGAGTATGCTGTCGATGGCGTAAAAGCCCACCTGGACCACCTGGTACAACATAACCACGAGATGCCGCTGCTCGAGCATAATGCTGAGTATCGCCAGGCACAAACCCACTATTAGAAACGGATCCAGGAATATGACCACTATCTTCATCATCTGGACTTCGATTTAAATAAACTTGCCGCAAACCACCTTCATTGACGCTTGTGTTTCCTGTATCGAACAAGCTTGTATAATGAGAGTTGGTATCAAGCGGTGATCGCTGATTACCCCGTAAAGAATGATCTAACTGCTGATGCACGTTAACTGACCCTCCATGACCACCAGATCCCATAGTGTCACCACCTTCATCTGTGTGACCGGCTGCAGCTGCAGCAGCTAATCTAGCTTCAACAAATAATCTTCTTTGTTGATGAAGGGCTTCAAAGTCTGGTACAATGGCCTGACGTCGTTCGTAAATGGCTAAAAAAAAACGAATTTTTATAATGTATTTCATGATTCACATAAAGTATTGTGGAGCATTTGTACTCCGTGAAAAACATATAGTATACAAAAAAGTATTTTAAAATAAAAGGTAACTTTAGGAGTTTAATAAAGTCCTTAATGTATGCCAACTGACAATGAATTAATAAAAATTTAGGAATTAGCTAGAAAAGAATACCAGCATTACATTTAATTGAGGAATATGATTTAACAAGAAAGAATGCTTTACTATGAAGAAAAAGAAGTACATCTCGGTAGCGTAAGTAATCTGTGCAACACGACTTTTATTTTGGTTATTAAGTAGAGGTATGGTAAGTTGAACCAATGTACATACGTACTAGGTTCTATGTTGCATTTGATTGGCTGACTGTTAAGTAAGCCTTACGGACTGGGTGGTAAGTGCCTAGGAAAACAAATTACAATACGAAAATAATTCTGCTGTGGCGTGGTAAGAAAATATAGCATTAGGAAAACAACATGCAAGTATGTTATAAAATATTATATGGGATTAACCAGGTTTATGAGTTTAAACTTCTTATTTCTTTCGGATATGGAATATGACTGTTATTAAATAAAACACTTAAAGCATTGCCATAATATAGATGGTTAGAAGACTATTAACAGGAAGTTATTAAGGTCCATATATGTGAATCAATAAAAGCTGTACTTCAAACCTTTTATATTAAATGCATTTTATTTTTCTGAAGAATATCAACTGACGGTAATGCTATACAACATCAAATAAATGTATATATATATATTTTTAAAAACTTTCATTCCTCATTCAGGTGGTTAGAGCAAAACATTAATGAGAAACAGAAAAGATTACTTACCCTCTACATAAAATCGTAGAGATGGTGGTACCAACTCCAAGCATTGATTATACTCCTCCTGTGTACAATGAATAGTACCAAGGCGAAGCATTAAACCCATGCGTTTTAAGGTATCTACTTCATCACGTATCTCGTAGGCTTGATCGAAATTGAATAAATATTCCAACCTGAAAAAGTTAGTATGAATCTCTTTACAGGTAAGTGAAACAGGTCCCAATAAAGAATATTTTACTAAGTATCTCGCAGTGTTTGAGAAATAAGACATACATTAGTCAACTTTGTTACACGAACTGTGTGCAATGTAAGACAATTGTTTAAAACAGACCTCAAAATAAGTTCGCGAGAGACGTAGTTTAATGATCAAAACATGAAACTTTCGAACACTAAGCCGTAAACTCACAATCCACTCTGGTGACTTCGATTTTGGCTCCCAGGATATGTGGCCCTCATCTGGACCACATGATCGTGTATTTCAATGTTGAGTCACATTAAGATAAAAGTTAAATTACGAGTGAAAATCTAGTAGAAGGTTAGAAAAACGAATGGGTTACGACATGATTCATATCAACGTCCGATTAATCAGTGTAACGACAAAGTGACCTATTTGGTAGTTTAACCACATTCTACCTAGACGGAAGACAGTAAAGTAAGGAGGAAGCAAGTGCAAACAAAGTGGGCATTGATATTTGTATTTAAAGACACTGAGCGTCGGTCTAAATTGTGTTAGACGTAAATTTCATGATTGAAGCTCATACATCAATTATGCCTATAGGTTTGGAGTGGCTTAAAATTAGCTACAACGCAGTACACATTTCTTTTATTTATTCAGCTCTGTTTATGTAATATTGTTCTTTTTTATTGCTTTGCTTTTTTAATCATTCAAATAATATTCTGCGTTAAGTTTTGCTACCAACAACAGTATTGTTATTTTCATACGATCACCTCACAAAAAAGAGAGATCAACGGAATAACACCTAACAAATACTATTACAAATAAAACCAACATTTTTAAACTACAAACTCTTACTTCGAAACGGGTTCAAATTAAATCAAAGAGTTGGAGCTGTATTCACTCGAGAATAGCTGGTTTACAATACTGACTTGTTTCTGATCGTCTATAAAATCTAACAATCTAACATTTTCCATGCAAGCATGTTATTTTAAGAGATAAAATATCTACTCTGTTAGTTAATGACTTAGTCTTTGACCTCGAGTTACTTAAAGGCATGCATTAACAAGTTGGTCTCGTGAGCAGCCAACACTTAACTCATATCGAATCATTTCTGATCATCTACCGACCATCAATCTTTCTCCCTCATTTCGATAGCCGAAAATTACCCATCAGACGATTAAACCCTACTCCATAACAGACATATGACGTCATAACAAGTCAAGACACTATCTAGTCAATTATTTCGCTTCTTTTTCTTTATAGTTACTTCTGATTGATATTCTAGTGTTAACCCAAGATAACTTGATCTACAAAACCTTTTGTAAGGAGCATATGTTGTTTTTGTTTACCTGCTATATAACCAGTAGTGATTGTAACCTGGTGAAGGATCATATCGATTACTTTTTGTCAGAAAAAAGACAAAATTATGCTAAAATGTCTTAATCCAATGATATTCATCATCATCAACAAAACGTAGAACTTTGTACGTAGTAGAGGTAGTAAAATGTATTAGTAAGTAAGTAGGTTAGAAGATGTTATTCAAGAAATATAATTCAGTGAGGTAAATTTTATAAAGAGAAAGATAGAGCTGATGAGGAATTCAGAAGGTTAGAATTTCATAGAACACAAAGAGTAGATGCACCTCTGCGCATTGGGAAACGGTTTGCGCCATATCACTCAGGGGCCTCTAACCATTGATTCTCAGCATCCGCGAGGACCACAACTAGGTAGTCGACACCTAACGACATGACTCAGTCCATCTTGTCAGTGACTTCATGGATTTTCTACCCATGTTTTGGTCTGGCCGCAACTTACCTTTCGTCCAACCTACTTCCTATATCGCAAAACATAGCCTCGACGAGGCAGTCGGTAGTTAGGCATACGTAACACAATATCCCAACCACCTCACTGATGAAGGTTCACCACTTCATCTATTGATCTGCCATCCTTACCTAGTACTCGTTTCCTAACAACAGCATTGCTTACTCGGCTGTCCAACGATACTAGGGCAATGCTTCGGAGACACCTATGATTGAAAACCAGTAATCTACGAATATTTTCTACTCTGACTGGCCATGTTTCACAGCCACAAAGTAGGACGGAGAGAACTGCCGCGCAGTAATCCAATGGTATTCCTACATTGAAAAGCTATATCTCTAGGATAACTGACAGTAGAATAGATAGACGAACTACGAGCTGATTCAACTTACTTATCAGTAGAAATATTGCAATCAATGACAGTTTTCCTGTGAGTAGATATCACCAAAAATGGCAAAGGGATCTTCTCATTACGAATTTTTGAAGTGCCATTAGATATAATTTTATCTGCATCAGTGTCAATGTTACGTGATCCATCACAAGTGTGAGATTGTGGGCCCATACGATTACGTCTACAACGATCATTGATTTTATTGCGCATTACAAGATTTTTAAAAGCAATCAACTGCATGATTAAATCTTGTATTTCGACAGTCTAAAATAACAATTGATAATAGAAAACTCTGAATAAAAGATAGCATTTAAAATCGAATGCAAGAGCCTGAGAATAATACTTTTCAGAAAAGTTGCAAATCTCGCTTTAATGTAGCAGCTTTTTTGAGTATTGAAACACAACCAAATTTCGAGTGGAAGTCACGATACATAACAATCGGTGAAGTTAAAGTAAATTACCTCGCACAGTAAAATCACACTACGTACTAGAATGCTGTACATGTGGGTAGTTAAAAGTTATTCGATAGCTGGAAAACTTCAATTTCAGCAACCTGAGTTGGAGGGTGAAAAAACGTTCACTTGTCTCGGTTTGGAAAGCCAAATAGTATACAAGAAATATGCAATAAATTTAACTTGAAGGTGTACACATTTTAAGTTGAAGTTAATAAATTTCATTAAAATGAACATGTGACTTTAGCAAGTTCTAATCTTCAGAAGACACTTATGGAATTTTAAAGATCACAGGATTCCGTCAAAAACTAACTTGCCAAAAAAACGCTAACCAGGATTACATAAACTTTTAGATTTTAAGAAAATAAACATTATGAAATTTAGAGGCAGTAGGTCTTTCATTCATAATAATAGTATGGTGATCATTGTGGTATACGAACTACATACAATGTACTTAAGCGAAAATAATCAGACATGAAAAATTAACTAAAACTAGATTTAAATAAAATATAATTTCCCTATCAACCCAGACAGCGCCAATTATTATTGTATTTTTAAAAAAGCGAGCATTATTATTGGTACAACAATCATATCAACATAAACATTTTTCTTTAACCTAGTTTGTGTCATCTAGTATATATTTGTTACGGCCATTATTTTCAAGGCTTTATTATGTGAAGTTACTTAGCAATAACTTGGTGATTGATCTGCAGAAGACCCAAGAATCCTCTCACTGTTTGTGATGTTTTCTCACTGTGATGATTTTCATTGTACAGTTACTTTTTTTTTTAAAATTTGAAGTATCGTTTAAGCAGTGATTTTAAATAGTTTGATTATTTTTTGTTATTGATAATTTCAGTTTAATTATATGTTTGATATACCCTGGCTAAGAGAACAATATCCTAAACGCTACAGGTTAGTATACCCTAGTAATTAATTAGATCAGATGTTTAGTTTAACAAACTTTTCAAATCATCGTATTATTACTTTAAAAGGTCAGGCATTGAATTTCATTCTAGTTGGAATCTTAAAACATATTTAATGGCTTGGGATGTGACTGCAATTTAGTCGAATATTTGAATGTGCTCTTGCGAATGTGTGCGAACTACCGTTTGTGCGACGGCAGTAATAAGAAGCTAAGTACGAATTCAGTTGGATAAGTTTATTTGATGCTATAGTTCATGCAGACAGAGAAACGACTATACAAAGAGTAAAAGCTAAGCAAACGCGAAATGAGTAGGCGGGTGAAAGCCAACTCCTTGTTATAATGATGCTTAAGTGTGGATAGTTAAACAAGTGACAAGTGAAGTAAGCACTCAAGTCAAAACCATCAAGCTACGAGTGAACAATTGACAAGGTCAAAGGATGTGCTTATAGTAATTCGGGCAGAAAGGTTAATCCGTTTGTCTAAAAGCTAAGACAAGCAGCCATGTAGGCTCAACATATTAGTACACACACTACAACACATATTTCTACATGATTTATTTATTACTCACTCAACCGGTCATTATCATCTACAAATTCAAATTTTCCAATGTTTCTAGAAATTTTATTCAACAAAACGTTGCTGTTGTCCATTTCATTGTACAAATAACTATTTAACTAGGTACTTGCACTTGTTTTAATCAATTCTAATGTAGTTGGTTATCATTTGATTAATCTGTAGGAAAAGTTGATTCTTGTTAAATAGATCATTCAACTGAAACAAATCAACTCTTTCATAGGATTTTTTTATTTTTGATTTGTCATCAATTGACTGTTGTTTTTAGATTTCTTTGTTGAATCTCTTCTTTTTTTCTATCGTTTTATAGTATTTTTTTTTTCTGTTTTCTTTCATAGATCACTACCACTCACTATTGTACATGGTTTTCAAGGAACTATGAAAAAATCATTGGATGAATCTGCTGCAAATTACAGCAATATACAGATTTGTCAAGTATGCAGTTTATAAATTGTTCTAAAATAAATAAAAATAAAAACTCAGTCAATTTAGTCAATTTCTCATAAAAGTCTTTTGAAAGATAGTTGCAATCATTGATTTTTTCATTTTTTTTTTCAAATTTAATTATTTCGATTTTAGATCTAGTGGTTAATTTAAAAAATACTGTACAGATTGGCGGAGATAACTAAGTTCCATAATTTGTATGACGGAATAATTTTAGGTGTATAATCATGGCGTATGGACGTGTTGTCGGTTCGCCGCTGCTGTGGAACTGCATCTCCTGACGTTGCTCCAATGTCTTTCGGATTAAACCTGTGGTGGACCCAAGGCTTGAGGAAAGGCCCCTGAAGAAACCCATTTACATCGGTTTAGGCAGCTGAATAGTATCCCAGTCTACTCAAAAATTCAATAATTCCATATCAACACTATTTACTCACATGCGAACTGAATGGAAAGAATGAACAGACAATAAGTTTACGGTTTCATTATTAAAAATAAAAAATTGCTTTCTCGCAAGCGGTAATCGAATTCAGGACCTTTGTCGCGCACGAATTCTTAGATTCTAGACCGCTGAGCCGACATCCGACGGTGTTAATGTCTAATTTCAATCAGTCCACGTTATCGCGTGGCCTCATCCATTGTCTTCGATGGGTAACTGCCTCACACTCGACACGGTTAACTCCACTAGACACGTCTTCACAGTAGAACTCTCAGAATTTCCTCACGAAGCTAGTCAATAGTGAGCACATGATAATTGTCATATCAGTTTGAGATATAGCTTAGAATAGATGTCATGTGGGATCCTTCCTTAGTTTCTTATCACGGTCATCGTTATCAGTATAAGCTATCTTCAGACTAAACGAAATATAATTAGGTAGTATTAGAGTTTGAGGTTCATATTTATCATATCGCACTTATTTAAATATTATATGATTCTCCCACTTTTGCTCTTTAATATATACCATTATTTCTTATTGTTATCTTTTCCTTTCCTTTATTTCAAGGCCCCAATACGTTTACCCTTCGGTACACATCATACGTAAGTTATTTGCAAGGAACAGTTCAGTTTGTAATGTATAGTTTTAAAGGAAATTTTTTCCCTACTATTATCGAACTGTGAAATAATGTATTATTGATGGCGATGTTTATGGAAACTATTTCAATCTTTAAGTGACCAAAATTAGGGGAGCCTAATTTAAACTAGTTTACTTTTGACACTTCTATTAGATTAAGTTACCGGACAACATCTCACTGAGTTCAGTTTTCTACTGCGTTTTCAAAATGAAATCTTTCTGTGTTTAAGATACTCAATAGCTTCTTATGTTTCGTCGCTGTTATTATCATTTTATTGTTTACGTTTAGTGGCACTATCATATCAGCAACGATGTGGTCTGGTTATGTATTTTCAATTGCACTAGAGATTGGTTAACTGGTGCTGAGATAAATATGTTCACGGTCTTAGCATTGTACAGTGCTTGTCAAACAGAGTTTGCTTAAATCTTCACTAAAGATTCCGAAAATGTTAACTTTAATCTATGTATTTCTGTAATATATCCGATAGTAGTAGATGTAGAAGCAGTATTATTGGTAATAGAAAAGATTAACGAAGATACGGTTGGAGAAGTTACAAGCCACTGATTCAAATTAGAACAAAAGGGAGGGAGGAAACAAAAGTCATAAAGAATGCAGAAGCTTGATATTTGTGAGAAGACAAAAAGTGGATACTAATGCGCTATTGCAAACGATTTTGAACCATGTCATTTAAAGTCTCTAACGCCTGTTAGGATTGTCACGCGCACCCCAAACAGATAGTCTACACCTACGAACATGAGTCAGTACAAATGTTAATGACTTTATGGACTGATTCCGTGTTTTGATTTGGCAGCGACTAGCTTTCTTCCAGACTCCTCCGACACCAGATGACATCTCTCGTGTACATCTGCAACCTCATTCGGTCGCGCATGTGGACACTTGAACACTGTGGTCACTGATGTATAAACTATCTCGCTTGGCTTAATATACAGTTTTCATTTATATATACACAAATACTACCTTATTTTAGATTAATGTATGATGAATATCTAGTAGTGGAATTTTCGTAGTTTCAACGACTATCTGATCTTATCTAGATCACCTTTGTAAGCCAAGAAACACTTGACAGACTAATCATCGATGCACATGGATGCACACGAATGCCGGATGGTTGTTGGTTTTCAGCAATGGTTCAGCTAAGATCAATTCGTGATTTAAGCTAGGAAAAATACCATAGTTTGTTTAAATGTGTTATTCTATATATCTCAAACTAATAATGTGCACGTCACGTACATACCACTATTCTTATTATTCTTACTTTAAATAATCGACATCTCTGTGAGAAGACATCGATTTTCCATGTGCCGGTTATGTTGAAATCACTTTTTCAAGGTGGTTATTGTGTGAATATCATTTTCAAAGCTTCCGTTTGTTTATTTTAGAAAAATGATGATACTCAAATATAAAGATGGTTTAAAAGTTATAATTCATACTGCGAATATGATATCAGATGATTGGGATCAAAGAACTCAAGGGTAAGATACTGTTGTAGAAAGTGATAGATTAATTAACAAAAACTATGGTTAATAATGATGTGTTAACATTCGATGTATCCATCAATATTATAGTAAACCTGTATCATATGTTTTATGTTATACCTAAGATATTTATGTAAGGAAATTATTCTCATTCGTCTATGCAATCACTTATAGGTCTTTGAATCATGGTTCATTAGACAGTTTATCTTTTATAACCAGTTAAGTGGATAAAACATAACAGATACATTATGTAATATTTTGCCATTAAAGTATATAATGTCTCTTGTTTTTACAGAAATAAACAGATAAATGACCCGTTGTAGAGTTAAGCATAACATGCGACAAATGAAGTATGTTGTTATGCTCGTCTCTAGGTATACCTAAAACTATTACGGGTTCACCTTAGTCGAATAACGAGAACAAAACAATGAACCAGCGTTCAGGTAGGCTACTATGATCCCTTGACCCATATGTACTGGCAAGAAGTCTTGATATAGCGTAGGAAGTGTATTTTACAAACACTCAGCCAGCACACAATCAATCTGAGCACTCAAATTGCGTTTATTTATCACCATAGAGGCGTCCTTGGGAGAGTCACAAATAGCACACTAAAATGACACAGTGACCAATCACAGCCAAGGTATTTCCTGGTGGGAAATGTGATCTCAAGGTCAACTGGTCGGTCCGTGAAATAAATCCAAAATCAAGACATTTATCAAGCGGGTTCTGGGAATCTAACATCCCCGGAGAGACTGAACTGTAGCATCGAATGGACGGTCTCGGGGGTTCTGGCAACCAGAGCAACCATTCTTTTAGGTACATGGAACGTTCGTACATTGTGGGAGACTGGAAGACTATTTCAAGTTGCGGCAGAACTGAAAAGATACAACCTCTAGGTACTCGGCATCAGTGAAACGCATTGGCACATGTAGGACAACTGAGACTAGCTTCAGGGGAACTGCTGTTATACTCTGGTCATGAAGAGGAAAATGCTTCACATACACAAGGAGTTGCACTGATGCTGTCCAAACAAGCACAAAAGGCACTGATAGGATGGGAACCTCATGGGCCGAGGATCATCAAAGCATCCTTCAAAACAAAGAAAGAGGACATTACAATGAACGTCATCCAATGCTATGCACCTACCAATGACTACAATGACGACGTTAAAGATCAATTCTACGAAAGGCTGAAGTCAATTGTCGAGAAATGTTCACCAAAGGATTTGACGATTCTTATGGGAGACCTGAATGCAAAAGTTGGTATGGAGAACACCGGATATGAAGACATCATGGGACGACATGGACTGGGAGAAAGGAACGAAAACGGTGAGAGATTTGCAAACCTATGTGCCTTCAACAAACTGGTCATCGGTGGCACAATATTTCTGCACAAACGCTTTCACAGAGCCACATGGATTTCACCGGACCACACTACTCAAAACCAAATTGACCATATCTGTATCAACAAAACGTTCAGAAGGACTATGGAGTATGTGATAACCAAGAGAGGAGCTGATATAGCTTCAGATCACCACTTGCTGATCGCCAAAATGAAACTGAAACTAAAGAAACACTGGACAACGGGGCAGATAACATCACAAAAGTCTGATACGGCCTTTCTTCGGGATACCGTAAAACTCAACGAATTCAAGTTAGCCCTCTCCAATAGGTTACACGCCTTTCAGGATCTACTCAATGGAGAGGACGCAACATTGGAGAACGATTGGAAAGGGATTAAGGAGGCAATCACTGCAACATGTCACGAAGTTCTGGGTCACAATAAGTACCATCGCCAGGAATGGATCTCTGTTGATACTCTTGCGAAAATTGAACAAAGGAGGAACAAGAAAGCAGCAGTGAATGTCAGCCGAACAGGAGCAGAGAAAGTTAACGCACAAGCTGCGTACACAGAAGCAAACACGGAAGTGAAGAAGAGCATCAGAGCTGACAAACGAAAATATGTGGAAGATCTAGCAATGACGGCGGAAAAGGCTGCAAGAGAAGGAAACATGAGACAATCGTACGAAACAACAAAGAAGCTCGCCGGGAACTATCGTAAACCAGAACGACCAGTGAAAAGCAAGGAAGGGAAAATAATCAGCAACACTGACGAACAGCGAAATAGGTGGGTGGAGCACTTTAAGAAACTCCTGAATCGACCAGCTCCACTGAACCCACCCAACATCGAAGCAGCATCCAAGGACCTCCCAATTAATATTGGCGCACCTACAATTGAGGAGATCAGTATGGCCATCAGACAAATCAAGAGCGGCAAAGCAGCAGGACCACACAACATTCCAACAGAGGCAATGAAAGCAAATGTGAAAGCAACTGCGAAAATATTTCACAACCTCTTCAAGAAGATTTGGGATGAGGAACAAGTACCATCAGATTGGAAAGAAGGATACCTGATCAAAATACCAAAGAAAGGCGATCTCAGCAAGTGTGAGAACTACAGAGGCATCACTCTTCTTTCAATGCCAGGCAAAGTCTTCAACAGGGTATTGTTAAACAGAATGAAGGACTTCGTAGACGTCTAACTTCGAGATCAACAGGCCGGATTTCGTAAGGATCGATCGTGTACTGACCTAATTGCGACATTACGGATCATTGTGGAACAATCAATTGAATGGAACTCACCACTCTACATCAACTTCATCGACTACGAGAAAGCATTCGATAGCCTGGATAGGTCAGTCAGTCAGTTGCAACGTAGAACTTCGTACGTATGTACATATGTTCATGTTGCCATACCATCACATTAGCACAGAGACGCAAATGTAAAATCAAATGCCATAGTGATAAAGATAGTAGAGGTAATAATGTTAATAAAGAATAGTAGAGGTAATAATGTTAATAAAGAAGACTAGGGTTCGAAGATATTATTCAAGAAATATGATTCAGTGAGATAAGGTTAGAAAGACAAAGGTAGAGGTGCTGACGAATCCAGAAGATTAGGATTTGAGAGAGCTCAAAAAATGGATGTACTGGCGCCATTGCAAACGATTTTGAGCCATATCGTTCAAAGTCTCTAACCATTGGTGACTTTCGTCTCGCGGACCCCAACCAGGTAGTCTGCATCTACCAACATGACTCAGTCCACTTGTCAGTGACTTCATGGATTTCTGCCATGTTTTGGTCTGGCCGCCCGTACTTTTCTCCCAACCTACTCCTACACCACAAAACATAGCTCGTCGAGGCAGTCGGTGGTTAGGCATACGTAACACATGTCCCAACCACCTCAACTGATGAAGTTTCACCACTTCATCTATGGATCTGCCATCGTTACCTAGTACTCGTTTCCTAACGACAGCATTGTTTACTCGGCTGTCCCACGATATACGAGCAATGCTTCGGAGACATCTATGATCGAATACTAATAACCTACGAACATCTTCTACTCTTAACGGCCATGTTTCACAGCCATATAAGAGAACAGAACGAACTGCTGCGCAGTACACCCGTCCTTTGGTTAGCGAACGGATATCACGCCTACGCCATAAGTGACGCAGGTCGGCAAAAGCCAATCGAGCCTTCTGTATCCGAGCTGAGATTTCGTTAGTCACCAGGCCGTCAGCACTGATGAGACTCCCCAGATAAGTGAAGTGATCAACACGCTCGACTACTTCACTCCCTATCACTAGTTCAGGTGCCAATGCAACCCAGTCTTGAAGCAACATTTTGCATTTCGAGGGGGAGAACCGCATCCTGAACATGCTCGCATTGTTGCTTATGGAAGTCAGAAGACTGTGCATTTTGTCAGCGTCTTCACCGAATAGAACTATGTCATCGGCATATTCTAGATCAGTAAGCGACTTTCCTGGTAGAAGGTCAACCCCTGAAAAATCTGACGAGCTTAATGTTAACTCTAAGAGGATGTCTACGACAAAGTTAAACAAGAATGGTGAGAGTGGACAGCCCTGACGGACACCACTTGATGTAGAGAATTCAGATGACAGTTCGCCATACGCTCTCACTCGACCAGTGGTGTTTGAGTAGAGTGCTTGTATAAGGTTAATGTACTTCTTTGGTACACCTTTCAATGACAGACACTGCCACAGAACCTCACGATCCACTGAGTCAAATGCAGCTTTTAGGTCCAGGAACACCACTATTGTAGGACGTCTAAATGTATGTCTGTGTTCCAGGAATTGTCTTAGTGTGAAGATGTAGTCTATACAACCACGTCTAGGTCGAAAACCAGACTGGTTTTCTCGAGTCTGCTCTTCACGAGCTCTAGTTAGACGTCTAAGTATAATCGAGGCTAACAATTTAGAAACTATATTAGTTAAACTTATTCCCCTGTGATTGTCACAAGAGGACTTCTGTCCTTTCTTGTAGATTGGGACAATTAGCGACTGAGACCAGTCAGATGGGATTACGTCCATTTCCCAGATTCTACCTAGGATTTCGGTCAGTTTAACCGTTAAAACTGGACCACCATCCTTAAACATCTCGGGGGTAAGCCTATCAGGACCTGCCGCTCTACATCGCTTCAGATTTCCTATAGCTTTCTCAACTTCATGTAAACTGGGAGGACTTAAATCGATTTGCCATTCAGGATGACTGGAGATCGTGGGCAATCGAATTGTGGCTCGAGGCCAGTTGAACTGATCCCTAAAGTGTTCTGCCCATCGATCCAGCCTCCTAGATTGAGAATGGATAATAAGACCATCCTTTTCCGAGATAGTCTCACTCACATTCGGGTTCCTAATACCGGTTTCTTTAATAAGGCGGAAAAGTTGTCTAGTGTTGCCTATCGCTGCTGCCTTTTCCATCGCTTTTGATTTCGCCACCCACCACTGTTCACGGTCGTTACGTAGGCTTCTTATAAGTCTGCGCCTAAGCTGACTACGCTCTTCATCATGTTCAGAGTCAGGTGGGATGCGTTTTCGTGCATCCATCAGTTCGGTGGATGCGACTGAAATCCACTGCTTCATCCTAGCCTTGTGGTTTACCTTGCTAGCAGATACCATTGCTGTTTCCACAGCCTTCTTGATATGATTCCAACCTGCTTCAGGATGGGAATCACTTGCATTGCCGCCTAACTGTTTTTCTAGTTCCTCCTGAAATATTTTCTTAGCTTGATTATCACCAAGTAAAGCCCTAAGAGGCTTCCTTACGGTGTCTTTTTTACGTCCAGTAAGCCCCAAACAAATACGCGCTCACAGTAGTGCATAATCTGAATCTACACATGTGCCCCAGAACGAGCGACAGTCCTCTATCGAACCCCTCCATCGGTGGCTGATGGCGATATGATCTAGTTGTGTCCAACGTTGAGACGACTTCGGGGGTCGCCAGGTCGAAAGATGTTTTTCCTTATGTTTAAAATTAGTTTTTGCTAGAAATAGTTGGTTATCTGAGCACAGTTGCAACAGACGGTCGCCATTGTCTGTTCTTTGAGCCACGACACCATAACATCCACCCAGGCGTCTTTCATTTTCACTTAGTCTACCTACTTGAGCATTAAAGTCACCAGCCATTATTACTATATCACAGCGCCTAACTTTTTGGAGAAGGTCCGAAAGCTTACTGTAAAACTCATCTTTTACATCATCTGGGCTGCAGTCAGTGGGGGCGTAGGCTGATATGACGAAGAGGCAACGACGAGTGTCCCTATCTTTCCGAGTCCTTACTGTCCCGTTCAGTCGGACGGCGCACAAGCGACTATCTACAGGGATCCAGTCAAGGAGAGATTGTTCTGCCCTACGACTCAATGCTATACCTACACCGGCGAGGCCCCCTAGAAGCAGCATCAGGGCAACCGGATACACGAAGGGTAAATCGAGCTGCTTCTTTATCTTGACATGGTGAGGTCAAATGAGTGATGCTACTCAGATCCTGTATGCGCGTTTCCGAGACGCAGCACACATCGATGGAACGAGATTCTAAAGTCCTAGCTAATGATGCCTGTTGTCCTATTTGACACAATGTCCGTACATTGAATGCTCCAACATGTAGTTTGGAACGGGGTTTAAGGAGACCAGGAACGACGTTTCGCGAACTCGCATCGTTTGCATTAGCTGTGCACTGTGATGAATGAATGTGAGAAGAGTTAGTTGTGGAGATAAGAGAGGTATTAGGGAATGTAGGAAGGATTTGATCTTGGCCAATTTGGTCTCGCGTGCTGTTACGAGTATGAGGGTGATTGCCACTTCCCTGCTGCCCACACCATGGAAGGTTGTTTCTTGAGGGACCTGAAAAGGAAGATAGATTGGTGTTGGTCTTGGAGACTTGGCGGCGTGACCGCAGAGTCCAAGGAACAACTGCTTGAGGCCGGTCACGCACGGCCTTTTTATGAAACGTTTTTTGAGGATTAACTCCGCTCTTAAAGGCGCTTAGTTGGCACCCTTACTCAAGGAGACGGAAATCCGTGAGGTGTGACATTTTTAGGGTCGACCTTTTCTAACCCTTCCTTCCTTGTGAGAAGGCAGCATCGCTACAGATGCTGGTTGTCCGAGAGAAACACCTTGCTGCTGTCACACCCCTCTGCAGTCAGCAGTACAACTTAGCTCTCAGACCTTGGGTAGCTGCTTTTAGTCTCATTGTTCTCCAATCGACCTGCCTGGCATGGTAGGACCTGCAGGAACATGTGTTCCAGCCAATATATATCGGTTGGGTCATCACGATAGGCAAGCCCGACCACCACGTCAAGGTAGCAGCTGCGGCCGGGTAGCAGCTTCGGTCGGGAGCCTGCATAGGAAAACACTGTGGAGGCTTCTTCGACACTATGGTGTGCCTTAGAAAATAGTTAACATCATACGGAATTCTTATGATGGATTCAACTGCAAAATCGTACACGAAGGACAGCTAACAGACTCTTTCGAGGTGAGGACCGGCGTCAGCAAGGTTGCTTACTCTCACCCTTTCTATTATGAAGACGTCGACATCTGGAGGGAAGCACGGTATCAACTGGACATTTAGGACGCAGCTGGCAGATCTGGACTTCGCAGATGATCTGGCTATTCTATCGCACACGCAACAACAAATGCAAGAGAAGACGACCAGTGTAGCAGCAGCCTCTTCAGCAGTAGGCCTCAACATACATAAAGGAAAAAGCCAAATTCTCCGATGCAATACAACATGCACCAACCAAATCACTCTCGATGGACACGCCTTGGAAGACGTTAACACCTTTACATATCTGGGCAGCATCATCGACCAGAAAGGTGGATCCGATGCAGATGTGAGGTCGCGGATTGGCACAGCAAGGACTGCATTTCTACAGTTGAAAAATATCTGCAACTCCAAACAACTTTCAACCAAAACCAAAATCTGGATCTTCAATACAAATGTCGAGACAGTTCTACTGTATGGAGCGGAAACCTGGAGAACTACGAAAGCCATCATCCAGAAGATACAAGTGTTTATTAACAGTTGTCTTCGCAAAATACTTCGGACTCGTTGGCCAGACACGACTAGCAACAACGTACTGTGGGAGAGAACAATCCAGATTCCAGTGGATGAGGAAATCAGGAAGAAGCGGTGGAAGTGGATAGGACACACACTACGAAAAGCACCTAACTGCGTCACGAGACAAGCCCTCACATGGAACCCTCAAGGCAAAAGGAAAAGAGGAAGGCCAAGAAACACATTACGCCGAGAAATAGAGAAAGATATGAGAGGAATGAACAAATATTGGACATAACTGGAGAAGGAAGCCCAGGACAGAGTTGCTTGGAGGAAACTGGTGAGCGGCCTATTCTCCATTGTGGGTAACAGGCGTAAGTAAGTAAGTAAGTTAAACGAAGCCCCTAGTCAAAATTACATTTATATCTACAGTACTGATCCACTAACTGACCGAAAAGAAAATGCTTGAAAGTTTTAGATATTTTATTTCTATTCAACATTGAAATTGAGGGCTTATCCACATATCCAGTTTAGAACTTCACTTATCTCTTTCAGTCACTTCTTTACTGTCAACATGTTAACATTTGTTCCTATTTATTCAGTTATTCGAATTGTTCTTGTCTCGAAATAAGCATTTGTATGGTAAAAAATCAACGAAATAGTTGTGCTTTTGTTATTATATCTTATTTTAAATTAAAATATCATTTATTTTTTCATTGAATAAAAATCAAATTTAATGAACACATACTGTCCTTGATTAGATGATTGATTACACTGTAAACCTGCGTAAATTTAGTTGCTTATTACTTTGTTTGAAATTTATTCAAGGAACTACATATCGGGATATGTGTTTTTTTTTGCGAGGGCATTTCTTTTAATATTGATATATCGAAGAATTTCATTAAGTCGCATTATTAGGTGCATGAAATAAAGCATTCAGCTTATAATTATGATACCATTGTTTCACTTACAAAAAAATTTTTTTTTTTTGACTTGATCAACTTATTTGGATATGCGGTGTATTCTAAATGTGAAGGCTAATAAATTCCGCATTATTTTGCAACTCGATGTAAGATTTGAATGCTAAATAATTTTTGCTGTTAACTATCTTATGCTCACGTCTCATTAAAAATATAGTACGTTTGAAATTTACCTTTTATTATTCTAATTTTGTAGAATTTGGATAAGTCCAAAATTAAAGTTGTTAAGCATGGAACAACAGAAGAACATAAACAATACCGATTCAACCACTAATTTTCGTGCAGATCTAATTGAGTATTTAAAATCATATGGGACAGATTTAACCCAGTCGACTAGTTCACCCTTATTTGAATGGATTAATTGTTTGCACAGTTACGATTTTCGACCAATTAAGTAAGTTTGTGTCATTTTGTTTTTCTTTTTAAAATAAAGAAAAAAATATGAATGTGTTTTGTGAATTTTTGTTATTTCTATTTTATATTGTACAATCGAAATTCGTTATTGTTTCCTTGAATTGGTTCATAATTATTCTATATATATATATATATATATATATATATATATATATATATATATATATATATACGAGGTTCTACATTGCTAATGCCTGACTTACTATTCATTAAAAAAAATTACAAAATATCCATCCATAACAATGTTTATTAAGTCAATTCTGCTAAATTATTTCGGAAAATAGGACAATGCCTAACAGCAGTCATTACATTCATTGAATATTCTGATAGTTCCTTCAGCTGAGTACATTCTCCATAAATGAGTTATTTTAAAACTTTCTAAAACCTTCAATCAAGTACAAAACCAAAGTATGTTATAGATCATAATTTTAACCAGTAGCTTTTAATAAAAAATTTCAATTTATTTATGCACATAAAAACACTGGTACAAAGTAGCACCTAAATGTTTATGCACCACATAAATTACTGAATTTTTGAGTCGGCTGGGATACTTCCCGGCAGCTCAAACTGAAGCAGGTTATTTATTTTGGGGGAGGGGGAACGATTTCCCAAGCCTTTGGCTTACAGGTCTTATTCCATAAGACAGTGGAGCAATGTCAAGAAATGAAGTCCTATGGTAGCCGATGACCAGTAATAGGTTGGTATGTCATTTGTTCCATCAGGAAGCACATGTACGTTATCGGTTCGGAATAATGGTTTCTCAACTCCGCTATGTGTATACTCTACACCTGCTAACTTGGCTTAAGCATCGGACATTCGCTTTGCGTGCCCTCAATTTCGTAAACAACTCTCTTGACACGAGAAACAAGTTAGTGGGACTTCCTTGACAGTGGCGATACACTCGCGACCATGTGAGAGAAGAAGTTATTGTTAACTTTGCCTATGTAATGAGCTTTATCTTTTGCCCGTTTTTATTGTTTTTGCTAAAAGGGTTGTATTAATTGCGTCAGTCTCAGGAAGACATGTTGGCGAATCACTGAGGAAATTCGGTCATACACGTTTAGCAGAGGTATGATTATTTTTATTGTGAGCTCATTTTAAATATGAAAGAATGAAGTGAATATTTATCAATCTATTTATTTAAGTGGTTTTTGGATACTAGTTATATGCTCCTACTCATCACTTCTCGCATCAATAATCAGTGTGATTTGACCAGACAATTCACATCATTCCATACATCGCTTCCATAAAAGAGTGATAATTTTATCCAGTTGTAATATATAATGTTTCCGATGTTGTCTGGTCACTTTTATTCTAATCACACATTTGCTGTTGTGTCAGACTTAAATTCTGTGTCGTTTCTGCTAACCATTAATTTTAGCTCTATCTATCTATAACGGTATTGAATGATTCATAAATATAAGCTGATGTTATACATTGTCATCTAAAAATTTGTAGTTAGTAGCTTCTGCGTTATGGCTATAAATATAAAACTGATTAGCCAATGAACCGATAAATATTGTGATCTTGCTACTTTTTTTTCTTTTTACATTAGGTATTAAACATGAGTAATAGCCAAATTCCTTCATCTTGGCCAGTGATTGGACAGTTTTCAAGTATTGGTTCTTTAGGTCCCAAGCCTACTGATTGGTTTACTACTGAATGGTCTTCAAGTTTAGCCGGTAGAGGTGCTAGAGGTTTACGAATGGTGAGTATATATTTACATCGTCAAAATTAATATTTTTTTTTCCTAAAATTAAAAGTTTTTATGTTTTTATCTCCAAGCATGCCAAATCACCGGTTTCGTTTACACTTTTCCGCATAACATATCATGTTGCACATTCCCCACCAGGAAAGTCCTTGGCTGTGATTGGCTACTGTGTTATTTTAGTGTGCTATTTTTGTGACTGTTCCAAGGATGTCTCTATAGAGTATAAATAATTGCAATTTGAGTGCTTGGATTGATTGTGTGCTGGCTGGGTGTTTGTAGAATACACTTCCTACGCTATATCAAGACTTCTTGCTTGACCAATTCAAATCCCTCATATTCATATTCCATTATCATGAAAATGCATTATTCTTTAACTTAACTAGTAAGAACTCCTTATTATTAAATGATTCCATCGTTATGAATTTTTTTTATTTGTCAGCAGGAATAGTGTACGTATAGTTTTCATGAACGGGGTAAGAATTAAAAAGTCAGCTATTAAATGTTGTAACAAAAAAAAACACAAGAAATATAGTTTGAAATCCCTTATGGTTAATAGTTGATGAATTATCTACACGTTTCTTATTTACAAAGCTAATGATTAAATATCAGTGAATTATATTTTTATTTTTGTATTGATAAGTAAATATTGACATGTAGAAATTTATCTGCGAATAAATATTGCTCAGTTTTTTCTGCTGCGTAATATTCTTAACAATGTCTCAATTCTATTGATAATTATTAGAATGTGATCACTACGTGACTGGATACGACATCACTCTATCATCAATGTAAACTTATTGTTCATATAGCTAACCTTGAAATTTGAATGAAAATTTCTTATAGTCATAGACATAGACATAGGAATGTCTACTATCTCATTAGTATGATTGAATTTCAGTCAGTTGTGTTTGAACGAGTCGAAAAACATTACGGATCATTACTTTATACTTCGGTTTCTTTTCTTTCACTCTCTCTCTCTCTCTCTCTCTCTCTGGTATTGTCAATTTATATAGATTTATCCGTCTGTCGATGATGTCCGTAATAGTTTGGAAGGTTATTTCGCCGGTGGATGTCTACCATATACCAAGAAAACAGCTGAAAAACAACCATGGCTTTCTCAGTTCTTTTATCGTTGGCAGGCATTCGGACACAGTCGAGCTGCTCCTCATATTAAATCATACTGTAGGATGTCACCAGATGGTCAACAAATAGGTTGGTTTCTTTTGACTAGGTAGGTAATTACAGTGAACATCAATCAACTAATTGTTTTAGAGATTGACACCGTAACCTATTGAACACATTGATTTTTTTAAAATAATAAATGTGTTGTTTGTATTTTGACATATTCAACAAAACTGGACTATCGAATTAGGGTGGGGGGAGATATTTTATTCCTTATAGCTGTTGTATTTTTTGGATAAAAGTATAATCTGATATGAAGTTGTTATAAGACAAATTGCACTGTAACATATTACACAATGCTGCGGTAATCAATTCTAGAATACAATCTATTGACAATATCAAGAAAAAGGAACACAGCAACACTTAACGTCATCTAGAGTATAATCTCTTTAGTTTAAGTTTGTTTTTTTTTTAAAGAAAACTATTCGACAAGAACGTTTACAGATAGATACTTCATGAAATCGAGGCATAAATTAAAATGTTGAAAGCTCTTTTTTTTTTATTCTTTTTCGGTTTTAAGTGAAATCCTATGCTTACTTAGTTTTAATCATCATTATCGATGGAAATAGCCAAACGTTTACTGTATCCAAATATCTATTATGTGTATTGTTCATACAATATTAGCAAGTAACCATGTTATATGTTCAGTGTCTTACGGAATAATTACCTGCCACTGATATGGAACGCTTATCATCTGTTTAGTGTAGATTTTTTTTCTTTTTTGGCAGAAAACAATTGTTGATCAACAATTAGATTACAGTAGTTTTCACATGGTAACTTGTAATCTAACTAGTAATGTCCTCAACTTCTGTTGTCAGACATGTCTTGATAATGTCGTTGTCAGTAAATGTAATTAGTGAACATGAATTGATCGCATAATCATTGCTAAATTTATAATATTATGTTTACAGTACGGGATTGTGAAGATTGTTAAGTTACACATTTTTGAAACCATGAATCGGTCAATGTTAGACCACCATTAGGAAGCACTGGACGGCCGTTTCGTCCTGGTATGGAACTCCTCAGCAGTACGCATCCACGACTCCTGCACCCCGTAGGATCCGAACCCAGGACCTTCGGTATTGTGCGCGAACGCCTAATAGTGGTCTAACATTCATCGATTCATGGTTTCGAAAATGTGTAACTTAACATTCTTCACAACCCCGTAATGCAAATTACCTATGCTCACTATTGACTAGCTTAGTGAGGAATCTTCTCCGAGTTCTAGTGGGAAGACGTGACCAGTGAAGTTCAACCTGTTCGGGTGTAGACAGTAACTACCGAAGACTGTGTATGTGGTTGCGCAACTCCGTGAATCGATCAAGTTAGACATTAACACCATTAGATACCGGCTCAGTGGTCCGATGGTTAGGCGTTCGCCTCCAATACCGAGGGTCCTGGGTTCGAATCCTGCGGGGTGCAGGAGTCTTGGATGCGAACTGCTGAGGAGTCCCATACCAGGAAGAAACGGCCGTCTAGTGCTTCCAAGTTTCTAATGGTGGTCTCACATTGATCGATTCATGGTTTCAAAAAAATGATATATTTCACGACATTTGAAGGCTTTCAAATTGATCAATGAAAGTTCATAAAATATGACAATTTTTAAATTTACCATAATGAAGAAATTATTTCCTCTATATGACACAACATTGCCATTGCTATTTTACAACAGTATTTAATATTGTGATCTGATAAGATACAAACAAATCTTCATAGATTTACGTGTGTTTAGTTATCTAGTAAGAGTATATATGTACTACTCACTAAATTAAACCTACAAACAATGAAGTTGATTTTCACATTTCTCATAAAACAACATTTCTAGTTGATCAATCAATAACTAATATATTGATAAAGACAATAAGAATGTTCATTTTTGTGAACATGAAGGAAATTGTATGAAAAATACTATTTTAACGTTAACAGTCAACTCATTTTTTGCATGTTATCATTATGATAATCAAATGATTTAGATAAGTATGAGCAAGAGATCGGAAAATTAGCTTTCCACTTATAATTATCACTTTCTACTTAATCAAAATGTAATCCTTGTTGATAAATAGCATTTTCAATTTATTCTTCTATTCCGGTCTCTTATTCAACAATAAATCGTTCTAATTTTCACAGTTTTATTTCATTCTGTTTTAACAGTTATTACGTCGATTGTTGACATTGTGTTTCATTTTTAATTTGTAATCATTATTATTCAATTATCTTAAATTTACTCAAACACATTTTTATCACAACATCATTTTTGCGAATAACTGTAAATTTATACATACGGTTCACTGCTGTGGAGTCTCATACATACTAAGACAAAATGATCGTCTAGTACATCGATAGTGGTGGTACGTAATTTAAAACATGAAATTATTATTTACTTCAACGGTGGATTCTTTTTCTGCAAGCTGTTGGATGCTGTCAGGTATATCAAATAGAATTGACCTTGATTCCAATGAGTCCTTATGAAAATAGAGTTCAGTGAACGAGTACACTGAGTAGGTGCAGTGGTATTATTTGTTATGCTACTTGTAAATAAGTAAAAAAAACCATTCTATCTAGTCAACTGAAAATGATTTTCTCTTCACTCAATCTATTATCCTTATAGAAGAAATGCAGTTTAGCATTTACTTTTAACTGAGATGATACATTTACCTAAAAAAAATAGAATTCTTTATTCCGAATTAAAACATGACGTCTTTACTTTTAACTATATCAATCAAACAAATCAATTTTAATTTTTCTCATCCGACATATTTTTGTTATACATTACTGAATAGTGCAAATCTTTCAAAAGCTGCTTGGGGTGCTTATGAAAAGTCAAAAAGTCAATTAATGATTCGTTCATATGAATTAGGTGTTTTGTTTTTGCCAAGAAATTATAAGGTTAGTGTTTTATTTTTCACTCTTTAGTTTGTTTTTTTTTCAAACTTACTTTTTTTTAATGTTGGAGCATATGAGTTATACAGTTTGTGCGATAATCTTTGTGATTTGTCAGTCAGTCAGTTACAACGTAGAACTTCGTACGTAACTACATCAGTTCAAGTTGCCATACCACATTAGCACAGAGATATAATTGTCAATTCAAATCCCATAATAGTAGAGGTAGTAAAAGTATTAGAAGTAATCGGGGAGATTAGGGTTCGAAGATGTTATTCGAGAAGTTAAATTCAGTGAGGTAAATTTGGAAAAGAAAGATAGAGCTGATGAAGAATTCAGAAGATTAGAATTTCATAAAGCGAAAACAGTGGATGCACCTGCGCCATTGCAGACGGTTTTGAGCCGTGTCACTCAGAGTCTCAAACCATCGCGGACCATAACCAGGTAGTCGACACCTACCGACATGACTCAGTCCACTTGTCATTGACTTCATGAATTAGTGCAATGTTTTGGTCTGGCCACCCCTAACTTTCTACCAACCTACTCCTACACTACAAAACAAAGCTCGTCGAGGCAGTCGGTGGTTGGGCATACGCAACACATGTCCCAACCACCTCAACTGATGAAGTTTCACCACTTCATCTATTGATCTGCCATTCTTACCTAGCACCCGATTCCTAATAACAGCGTTGCTCACTCGGGTGTCCCATGATATACGAGCAATGCTTCGAAGACACCTATGATCGAGAACCAGTAACCTACGAATATTTTCTACTCTCACTGGCCATGTTTTACAGCCATAAAGTAAGACGGAGTGAACTACTGCGCAGTACACTTGTCCTTTAGTCAGCAAACGGATATCTCGCCTACACCATAAGTGACGCAGGTTGGCAAAAGCCAATCGAGCCTTCTGTGTCCGTACTGATTTTGTCAGTCACCAGGCCATCAGCACTGATGAGACTCACGAGATAAGTGATTTGTAGGAGTTAAATTCATGTTAAGAATAAGAATTTTCATTTTGGAACGGAAAGATTACATAGATGAGTACTGTTAAGTTTTACATTTTCTAATAATCCCTTAACTACTAGTAACTACTTGAGCGATTAAATTATAAGTTATCTTTTATTCTTTTTCTTACTTTACAAGACATATTATTATTGCATTCATTTGAGTTGTGATGTAATTCTTCTTGTGTACAACTTTAACTATCCTCATGTTGCTACTTAGTTGTAAAGTTACAATGATTTTATTTCCATCCAAGGATTCGTCAAACATTGTCTAGTGCCTTAAGAAAAAAATTACAAAATAGTTAACTTTGTTATTAAAGAACTCAATTGTTAATTATGATTCGATGCGGATATATTTTGTTTTAAACCAGCCCTTTTCGGTTTTTACCTATTAATTAATAACTTGTCAATGTTTCAGGCAATTTTTGTTGGATTCTCGCAAGCCCTAAAATTCCTAACCTAAAGAAATCGCTTCAGATTTATTTTGTTATAAATTGTAGTATATTTCACTAAAATTCTTCATAAAACTATATCTTTTCATAATAGGTTGACAGATGTATCTAGGAGTATCGGCATTTATTTTCTTGGTAACCGTTTTTTTCTGAGATACTGATCTCCCTTTTGGATGTTGAAATAAGTAACTTGATTAAGTCACCGTAAAATTTCCAAATCATAGTTTTCAAGAGAATTTCGATGCTTATATCAGCTCCAGCTTAATGAAATATAAGATAAAATAATCATAGGATTATCCATTGCTTTAATTTTGAGTTATTTCCACTAAATAAATCTTATTTCTGAAAATTTGATCTTCTGAGTCCTAGCCAGCACTGACATATATGCTCCCTGTGCATATGCTCAGGCCAACTACCTGAATAGAAAAAACCTAGATTGACGAGGAATAAAGCTAACAAAACTTTAGACAATCATATACAGATAACTTCATCAGACTAGTAAAATTTAACGCTTGTTGGACAATGAAATATCTCTCTTCCAACTGACAATACATACTTCACAATTAAATCATAGAGTTCAGAAATAATACAGAACATAACTATAAGTGTCTGTCTGAGCCAAAAACCTTATTCACTATGTGAAATTTTTTATTTATATGTGTGCTTATTACTTATAACCTCATCAAAACAATCTTGAAAGTAGAATTATTCAACAGTAGACATAGGAGAGAAATAAAGCTGTAAAATATTTAATTTTTGTTATTATTTTCAACTACTAAAAATATATTTACAGCTGTTTTAAAACTATCAAGTAGTTATTACTTAGTTGAAAGATATCATACATCATATCATATTACATATATACATGGTTTATAATTCAATATATAAATACACTTAGCGTTTGTCATTATTTACTTCGAACATCTTAAACTACCAAAATATTCAGCCAGATGACGTTTTTTCTTTTTTATTTAAATTTGGCATGCATTTCAAATTTATCTTCGATTTTTCTCGTACTTGATAAAAGTGTTATTCATTGACAAATACATAATTATTTCAAAGTGGGTACTGTTGTTTATTGTCAGAAAACAAATTGAATGTATATCACTGTTTTAAGGCTAGGTGTTCTATTGCACCAAATCTCGCGAAACTAGAAAATGTACCTCTCATAGCACATGAGAAATTTTCTTACTATTGTGCGAACTGATCTGTAAAAGAATGTTGAAATATTTATTACTGAGACTTAGTAATAAAATTCTATTTACAAAAGTTATTCAGCGAAATATTCCAATTTTCTGTATACTAATACAAATATTGAGTTAAAATGTGATTTGATTTTGTAAAATAATTTGTTCGAACTCTTTGTAGTTCATTTGATATGAAAATCACTATGATTGTTGATTAGCTTATTGATCCTAATCAGATCGCGCAAACGTTTGTAATTCACCTGTATTTCGTTTTTTCTTGAGTTTACTTTGATACTGTTAAGTAAAAATTATGATAACTTGAGATGTAATGGTTAAATCTAAAGTGTTATAATATTTAATCTGTATTTCTACCAAAGACGTGAGAATTAGTTCTACCTGATTTATTTGCTTTTGGGTGTTTATGGACCTGCGTATTATCTAAAATTTTCGATAATTGATGTCGTTGAAACATGTCTTACGTTTGTCTATCCACCGCTTACCTCGATAATGTTTCTGGTTTATGGATAGGCTGGAAGTCAGCTTGGGAGACCTAACCAAAGCATGATATATATATATATATATATATATATATATATTCAAAAACCAGTAATAAAATATGATCAGGTATAAAATAGCGCATCCAAACTATCTGTAGTGACTGATATTATAGTCGCCTATTCGGTTGACAGGTAATGTGTCATTAGAAATGATCTATACTGACAAATTTTCAAACTAGAATATAAAAGCTATTATCGCCCTTTGTTTTTGCCTGAATCTGTTTAGGATAAAAATACTTTTCAGACTGAACAGATTTTGATTCAAGGTAGGGAAATCGGTGTTTATCATCAAGGTAGTTTTTCATTACCGAGCTGACACTAGCTAAAAACTAGTAGGTATCCAATCATTCTCAACTGTTGTACCTGTTACGATAATTAATGGTCCTTCGTGTTCAATTAATTGTAGTTACTCATTACTGAAGTAACTCAAAATATATAAACATAACTGTTGAACGGCTTCTAAATTTCATTTTCTCTCCTTCTGACATTATCTCTTGGCGAAAACTTTCTCTAATATCTCACTGTTTAACTTTATTATCAGGTGGTTTTTCTTATGAAAAGTTTCTTGTTAGAATGACATCGTAATATATATTTTCTTTCGTATTTGTGCGCAACGAGATGAACGGTTGTAAATTCATGATTAAATATTACCTGTAAATTGATCCACTTAATTTGATATATATGAAGTATACTAATGAATCAATCATTAATCGACTGTAAGGTCACAGCACATGCTGTCCCAACCTGTTATTTAGCTAATGGTTAAAAGGAGACATGGATTTAAAAGTTGTTCGTAGTTTTACGTAATTGAGTAAGGAGAACATTTTGAGATGCTGAATTTTTGTAGGAAATACTCTTTGAACATGTAGTTTAGGATGCTTGTTTGGTGTTGCTGTTAGGATGTCATATTTAGAGTCCTAAGATTAGGGTCAAGTGTTTCGGTGTTCGTAAACTAAATCCGAATCCTGAAGCTTTTGTGAGAGTTTCACAGTTAAGATTCTATAGACAATTTAGGAAATTTCCTAATACATGTAAAATCAATGTATTTTTGGCAAATCTTTCATTATTCATATTAACTGCTTTGATTTTTAACTTTTTTTGTCGAAACTAGGAATCAGCCCATACATTTGATGTTCTAAGAAATTCCAACTATACTCAATCATCAACAAATGAATTGTTACCCTTTCCGGTTCCATATGAATTACCTCCGGTGAAATACGAGTCAAATGGTGAGAAGTTTTGTGCATATCTCCATTTTCGTTTTGTCATTTTTTTTTCAGTAAGTGATACGTTACAAATGATGAACACAAAATATATTTCATATGCCTACTGAATTATGTTCTTACCGAATGGAGAAAGGAAAACTTAAGATGGCATATTTTAAACATAGATGTTCATATTGTCAAAGCAATATTGTCTAAGTTCACCTCTTTGTTCTTAACAAGTTATTATTTTAGTGTATGGTTAGAGACCTTAAACGACATGGCTCAAGACCGTTTGCAATGGCGCAAGTGCGTCCATTCGTTGTGCTCTCTCAAATCCTAATCCTCTGGATGCCTCAGCACCTCTACCTTTGTCTTTCTAACCTTATCTCACTGAATTATACTTCTTGAATAATATCTTCAAACCCTAGTCTTCTTCATTACCATTAATACCCCTACTATCTTTATCACTATGGGATTTGATTTGACATTTGCGTCTTTGTGCTAATGTGGTATGGCAACATGAACTTATGTACATACGTACGTAGTTCTACGTTGCAACTGACTGACAACTGACTGTATTCGAATGTTGGGCAGCAATAGGATTCTGAACGCTGATTGCGTTTCTTCTAGGATTCAATTCCAAATATACTATGTAAAATTTATATCAAAAGCTTGTTTAGGATGCATATATGCCAAGAAATATTCATAATCGAAATTCTGACATAGTTCAGTTATAACATAGTGATCTATCAGCTATGTGGAATGTTTACCAATGTCAAATATTGCAGCATACATGAACAGATTTTCTACAAAACAGAGAAAAAACAATTAAAAAATATTAATGTATATAATATAGTAATTTCGCAACTTTTTATTCATGATGTATTTCCTTGACTATCGTTTATTTTAGATGAACCATGGATTTTAGATAAACCTCATGGTCTACCTGACATATTTGGTCGAGTTTGGCAACCCCCTTGAATATTGAATCAAAAATCAGCTTTTATTGAAGATGGTAGATTTGTTTGAACTTCCGCTAAATAACCTTGAAATTTATTGCATCAATCATTTGATTGCTGAATGATATCTCTTTGAGTAATAATGAAATGATCTTTATTCTACATTTCATTACAGTTACTTTTTATTTGTTTCTTCTTGACAGAGAGGATAGTTAAACAGAAAAGGTGAATAATCAGTCCAGTAAAAATTCTTCTATATATAAATGAATATTCCCAGAATTATATTTTAAAATTTAATTATACACTTTTTTTTTTAAAAAAAATTTGTCCTTCCTAATTTTTTTAATAAAACTAATTTTGATTCTGTCTATATTCAATCTAATAAAATTCTTCTGAATTTACTACTTCAAGTATTATTTTTTTCTCTCCTTTACGAAAAAAAAATTGTAAAATATTTACAAGAATTTCATTTTTATATGAAATATAATTTGTTTTTTTTGTGTGTGTACATATTTATTAATTAGTATATGACGTTTATTTTGTGAATCATTAAGGTGAAGTATTCTCATTTCTTCTCACTTTTGAATTAAAAATATTGTTCAGTCTATCATTAGTATTTTCCCTAAAGGGTATAAAGTTAAGTTGAGTTCATTGTTTTGTTTTTTTGTAATTTGTTTTTATCAGTATGACTGGTCTGTACTCTGTTAGATTCTACTGAGAAAGTTATAATTAAGTAACTATGGATTATCAGGTTCAAAGAGATATTTTGTGATAATACGGAATGTAGATCAATCAGAGTTAGACAATAACACCGTTGGATGCCGGCCCAGTGGTCCGATGGTTAGGCGTTCGCACACAATACCGAAGGTCCCGGGTTCGAATCCTGCGAGGTGCAGGAGTCGTGGATGCGCACTGCTGATAAATCCCATACCAGGACGAAATGGCCGTCCATTGCTTCCAGGTTTCTAATGTTGGTCTAACAATGATTGATTGATTATTTTAAATGTGTAAAAATACGGAATGTGTTGATTTTGCTAATGAATGATTCCAAGCTACGAGGCTTGTTCAAAGCCAAATATAAATCAACTGTGTATTGATACGATTTATTAGTTAATGCGTTAGATTTTCAATCTTTGTACGCTCTCATTAGTTGCTAACTCTATATATCCTAACCCTCCTCCTTATCTGGGCTTCAAACTGGCAATAATCCTAGAAAGGGCTTGACGTGAAATTTTAGTTTGAAATGTGGTACGCTTATATATCAAATCGTTCTAATTGTCGTCGCATTCCTAATGCAAATAAAACAAATTATTATTTAATGGAAATGAATGATTTCTGGATTAATTAAACTAATATGTACATACACACACATATATCTTCAGTGTATTTTTGAAAGTTTCACCAGGTTCTATCTTTTCATTGTTTGAAAGATGTCGTCTTCATTACGTTACACAAGCGCCTGCTCCAAGCAGAATTTATGATCGTGCATACTTATATATATATTTCATGAAATGACTACACTAACATACAGTATTTGTTATTTTGTCCTTTTGAAAACTTTGTCCAGTTACCTCAAGTGTAAACTGATCTAATGCAGTTCTTGTTAGTGATTTTCGATATATCTAATATTCTGAATAATCTCTACTTAATAGTTAATGAATTAAATTATTTCAAAGCAGTTAAAACTATATTTTTCAGTACACTTTCAAAAATTTTGTTTATATGAAATTCATATAATGTGTAAATATTTTTTATAAGCTATCGAAATCGTTATAAAGTTTTATATTTACTCATTTATATAATTCATTCATCTTTCGAACTTTATGATTTAACGCGTAAAGAACAGTAACAGCTTGTAGACATGTAGTAATATGTGAAAGACGACTTTCTATTTATCAGTATCTAATATTGTTGATTGTCATGATATCAAAACTCTTGAGTGTTTTTTTTTAATACAACATGATAATGTCAACTTATTCATTTCAAATTGACTAGTTCATAGTTTTGTCATCAATAAGTTATCGACGATATAACACTTTTATCATGCATTGTTATCGCTTTATTGCTAATCTGACTGACTTTATAGTCAGTCATGAAATTTTTAACGATTCCTATAGCATTTTTGTGTAACTGAATTTAATTAGCTGTAACTTTACTTTTGAAACAATTAAAAAAAAATATATCACAAACTGACAAATTTAAATGTGAAAACCAAACGAGAACAAAATTAAAAAAAGATGACTTTGTTAATATACTTAAAAGTTGTTAGATGTCAGTCCAAAGAGATTATCAATACATGTAGGCAATTATGGACAGAATTTCAAACACCAATATTACAAAAGATTATATGATAAATTTAATTGAAACTGATTAGCAATCAGACATATATTGATAATATGAATATATACAATGAATGAGCACAAATTCATATTGCTGGAAAGAACTAGACGAATGATTTTGTATCGACATTGATTGTTTCAGACTGTATTAAGTCAGTCTTTTTTTCTAATCTGATGATCAGTTACCCATTAATATGGTAGTTACCTCTTGCGATTTAGATAATGAGTTGTGATCCTATTGTTTACGTGCATAAACATGTGAGCTGTAGGCGTTTCACTGTTACTAGTTCAGACATATCAACTCAAGGTGATATCAAATACATGAGAAAAACCATCTACGTTCACACATTCATATGGCAGGCATTATTCTATACACTATTTGAAATCAAAATTATGTATAGAAAAATAGCTTATTAGAACAATCGTTTAGACAAATGTTAATAAAAAACAAAAACTATTGTTACATGTTCCATTCATGTTCTCTTCATTAATACAACATACAATTCAGTGTAACTTACTGAATTAAAGGCACTTACAATCATTCTGTTTATCTTAATATGTATATATATATTTTTGCTATTCCGATTGAAATATCATTCTAGTATTTATACAAAAGTTACAATTTTATGCAATAATACTCAAAAGAAATTAACTAACTGAAACTCTATCCTTATCAGTGAATTTGATCTGATTGCCGATGATAACAAGAACACTTCCTTCCTATAAGTTTGTAATTCATATCTTATTCAGTGTTATCACATTAAAATAATGTTCTTCTTTTTTCTAATTCTTTTTTTATCATTTAGAAACCCTTTTTTTTAAAAATTAACATGAATTATTTTACTTGTTGAGAAGCGATTTTTATTTCTTTCTTCATATTTTGACCATCAACTATGCTTGATCATCTCAGTGCAGTAGGAAACACAACGTTTCGACATGATTTTATGTGAATGGTTATCTCCATATATATATATATATTTTTTTTTTCGAATTTGTTCAATATTTTTTTCATAAGCAATAATAATAATTATTATTACTATTACTATTATCCTCTTTGTTTGTATTGTTTTTCAAAATATTATTATTAACAGAGTTCTGTTTCATGTAAAAATTTGTGCCTTTTCTTTGTTTTAACGTAACCAACATCTGAACAATGTACTGTAAGGAAATGTCTAACATAACTCCTTTTTCTTTTCAGAAGAAATTTTCAATTTAGGGAAAATAAAATAAGTATTTGAAATTATACTAAATGTAGTTCGTTTTTGTTTCTTTTTTTTTTTTCAAAATAATGGACATAAGTAATTCAGTTTGATTTATCTCTGTGAGAATTCTAGAATCATTTTGAATAATTTGATTTAAAATACATAAATTACTCTTTCTGTTTTAGGGTTTTCGGTACAGTTTCACTAGTCTGTTAGAAAGTGTTTTTATTAAAGAAAAAAAAAACACAATAATTCTGTTGACCCAACCAACACAATCATTTTTCATATGCTTTTTAATTGACGTTTAGTTTATTGAAGAACTTTAATTTAATATTTTGGGTTCATGAAGCAGTAATACTTAAAAAAAATAATTTTCAACCCTTAACACATATTGATGATATACATGCACAACAACTGTTCAGCATCATGGTAGTGAAAATGAAGTTTGTGTTTATATTACATAGATTTGCATGTCCAACGCTTTATACATCGCTAACACATGTACAAAATGTAAATATTGCATTTATGATGATGATGGACAATTTGTTTTTTTCTATGTACATGATGGGTCGTGGTCAACTGTGGAAGTAAGAATATGAGTTTTGTGATTATTATTGAATTTACTAGGATCCAATTGTTATTCACATTAAGGCTTGAATTTAGTACTTTAGTTCTTTTCAAATCCTAAATGAACTTATATGTAGAGAGGTAGGCATTAACACGATCAATGTGTGTCAATGAAAATTCCATTTATAAGAATATGAAGAAAGAGATATTTCAAACTATTTCAAATTCAATTTATTTATTTTTCAACTAAACCATGAATGATAATAACCTGAGAAAACTAAGTAAGCTCTTTTATCGAAAGATTTGTTAATAATTGTTTCATTATGAAAAGAATAAAACTATGAAGTCTATTTTTTATACTTTGGACATTTTCTTACATCTGTTTAGTTACGTTAATGTTATGCGAAGTTTTTCTTTTCAATTATTAAAAAGAATTACCAATTCTATTCAACCGTTTACTTATTTTGTTATATTCACTTAATTGATTTCTATGAATATGAATTTTAATATTTTCTATTTGTCGTTATTTTATCAATATGTCAGTCATCTTTATATAATATTCCTCAAAAAAGTAAAATCATCTCAGAAAAATGAGAACATTGTACTTTCTATTATTTTCAACTAGTTCATGTTAAATTTATTATATTTCCGTTCTATTCAAAAACAAAAACTTCCGTTCATTGCATGTTATCACTACACTTCATAAAGTGTTCAATGTGTAAAGTATATTTATATGTACATTTTTTTTAAATTAATAATAACTTCTTAATCGCACAAACCAATACCGATTTCGTGTATTATCCTTAAGATATAGATGATGAAATATCATTTGAAAGTTTTACTTCTGTCTATCATATAGGTTGCTTCCTTGAGTAATTGACTTTTTACGGCTTTCCGCATATCTGTTACGCAAGTAACAAAGGCTGTAAATTCATGCAAATCTCTTCATATATGTATTATCTGCTGTACAATATCACATTATTGATGTGCGCAAAAATACACGACTAGTATGACTACATTCAAAATACTTTTATAAAATACGGTTGTTTTATTCATCCGATTCAATTTAGGCGACGTGACTGCGGAGGCTGTGTTAGTTAGATAATGCGTCCTGCTATAATATCCTGCGTGGATTGTCGGTTGATTGGATTTTTATTAATAAGCACAGTTTTGGATGAGAACGGACATGTATGGACTGATAAAGCTTAGAAACCATATGATATAAATTGCTTCTGGTTTATGACTTAACAAAACCTGGACAACTCAGCAATACTACTGATCATTCAACCGTTTGATTTACTTTATTAATAGTTCTCTTTTTATTTATCACATA